TGCATGTTATTCAGTTGTAAATTAATCTATTTCATTCAACTGGCTAAAATAATATTACAACAAGAGTACTTTCAGTAAACCTTGCATGAGTGCATGAAAACGACATAATCATTTGTTCATTACTACATGCGAGATCAATGGTGACTCGCTGCCATCGTGTTACATTCTGCTTACGAGTTGGATACGACTCTCTTGATGTTTGTCTAGTTTGTAAGATAAAGACATATCTCATGGGCATATATATACACCTTTCAATAACAGATCACTTACTTTAAATATCTGAAAATAGTTGTATAAAGTCATTCAGGAAAGGTTTGTAAAGTCTGTTTTCATTGGTCACTACAAGTTTGACGAAGAATGAGTTTAAAATCGACACAAAGGGTGATTGTGTTTCTTAGATTTGGGACATCGATGGGGAAGTCTCAGATTTGATCGCCAGGAAAATAAACATTGAAAACACAATGTTATGATTAACATAAATTTAAGTCAAGAGACCCAAAGTCTGGTCTGTGGTTAGAGGAATGATTAATATTCTGTGATACTTCATAATATCATAAAGCCCCAGTGAGAAGGGGAGCGTAGTGGTCGGGCTATGACTAAGATGATTATCATAATGTGCGGAAGTGGTATTCTGGTTTGAGTATTATACTCTGTTAAGACTATCCCTGATTCATTTTCTTCAAAGCAACATTTATATTGATATGATGTACTTAATGATAAGATCATAAAAACTACAATTTATACAACTTTGGAAAACTTCAAAAGCTCCACATTCGTTATTTTAGGGTAAAAACATTGTCAACAAGCCCTCTTAATCTAAAAAGCATATCCTATAGACTTCTTGGTCTTGTAAAATTTTGAGCTGTATTTGATCTTTGTCTCTGGGCTTTATTTGATCTAATATTGACCTTTTTCTTTGAGCTCTATTTGGTCTTGTATTGACCTTTTTCTCTGAGCTCTATTTGGTCTTGTATTGACCTTTTTCTCTGAGCTCTATTTGGTCTTGTATTGACCTTTTTCTCTGAGCTCTATTTGGTCTTGTATTGACCTTTTTCTCTGAGCTCTGTTAGCTCTTGTATTTTACATCAGTGCTCTTTTGATTCTTGCATTGGTTTTAATAGAATTCTAAATGTTTGAATACTTGTTACATCTTATCATTCAAATAATTTCATAAGACAACTTTTCAGTTGGTATTTTCTGTAGTATCGAGTGAGACTCGGTAAGGTTGAACTCTAATTGCACGCAGTAATTATGTATGAAAGATGAGCTTATATCGGGTACAAGTGTATTAATCAGGAATGTTGCATGGTTTATATCATTATTCAATAAAAAAAATATAATCTCCAGGAATTTAGGTCAACAAACAAACATTCAAACTAAAAACATGTTTTGAGTCAAGGCAAATAAAAGAACAGTAATATTTTAATTATATCGAACCGGATATACGTCTCATATAATGGCGGATCCTTAACACGGTTACTACTGGATGCTCAGTGCTTTAAAATCAGTACTGAACCTCTACTGTAGTAAATAAATGGATATATACTAATAAATTTACTTTAAATTGTTGAAAAAGGATACATTTAGAATGCTTTTTTGCCCTATCCATGTCTGTAAATGCACAACACGGCAGAATCATGAACTTAGATTTGAAGATCCGCCTCATTTTGGAGGTACAGACGTTTGTAGATTAATTGATGTAATTGAAAAGAATTACTACACTAATTGATGTATTCTCAAGGTCAAGCTTACGTCAATTTACTTTTCTTTAAAAAAAAGTACTTAGAAACAAAATTACACTGATTTACTTCAATTTGTAAATCCGAAATGTGTTTCATAATTAACTTTGATATAAAGTTAGTTGCAATTATCTCTTTCCTTATACCTTTGTTGCGAGTCCTACCAAACTTTCAAACTAGGATACTCAGCGTGGCACTCATTACCCTATGTCGGTTGGTACTTTCCACTATCCTTCCACACTATCTTTCGTTTGAACACATTGTGGTACCCGCTTTATTATATTTGTTGGTACTTACTCATCGTGGTACAGTACTTATTTTCTTAAAACGATACTTACCATGGTATTCACTCTTTTAAGTGCCTTATCCAGAAACCTTACCCAGGTACTTAACTTACTGTCTTTCCCAGGTACTCACCTTACTCTTTTACCCAGATACCTTACCCAGGTACTTACATAACTGTCTTACCCAGAAACACTACTTACTTACTGCTTTATCCAGGTATACATCTGTATAGCTATCAGAGGTTGTACTGGGTTACCAAAATATCTGTCTCTATTAGAGCCTCTGATAGCTACTTGGACAGATGTCTTGCTGGTGAAGAGGCCCTGTAAAATGGGGACTTTCCGCATCTCCGCCGGTGTAGGAGTTTTAAATCTATTTTAGATATCTCGGATCTGCAAAACCCAGATATAATTGGAGAGATGAATATTTTTGTAGTTCATCATTTTCTCCCTTATGTCACGTCTCTGGTTCCACTAAAGTTTTTTCTACAACCTTCGTAAGTAAAGGTAATTTAATATTATGTTTAACATATATTATATATTTAACAGGGTATATTTATTCCAATTGAGGCTGGAATAAAGTCAGACTATCTTACCCAGATACCTTACCCAAATACTCGCCTTACTGTCTTACCTACCTGTCTTACCTACCTATAATACAATACTTTTTCGATTATAAATTTGAAACTGGGGGTTGGGCAAAGCCGGGGCCAGCTTCATTTCTCTTCTCGCGAAAAGCAACTGTAACTTTCATACGCCATTCATCCCCCCTCAAGTACTTTCGAAAATCAGCATTCGCACCTTACTAATTTCCCTTCTCTTACTTTTTGTTATTAGGGCTGGGGGTAGTATTTCTTTCTTTCATTAGGAATATTCAAGAAGTTCGTGATAAATAATGTTGGAAACAAAATGCGCACCACACAAAATGTCTGATCCTGTTGAAACATGGTTTTGTGCAGTTGTATAGAATTGTGTTACATGTTACAAATCACGATTTCTTCATAAACCTGAATCAATCTGATAGCTATAAGATATTACCATTCACACTATCTCATCCGGTCTGAATTACCAAGGTCTGGGGTTCGAAATGAGGTCGGTGTGTTAGATTTGTCACTCTGGCTGATTTGTGCTAACTTGATGAAAGCAGGCCATTTCGTTTTCTGGCGTGTAGGTACTGTGATAATAAAATCGAACTGAGCACTTTTCGAAAATTACCCGTGTGGTCCACTTGTGATTGCTTCCCACAAAATGCTATCTTTAAGCATGCTTGGTGATGATCTAGCTGTGACGTGATCAATATATGACATTTTAATTTCTGTTAGGCGAGTGTGTAGTTTGATAATAAGACCAACCTGAGTGCTTCATTTTACCTGTATGGTCCACTCAGTGCTATCAATCCTTTAAGCATGCTTGTTGATGATCTGGCATTGACGTGTCGAGTTTAAACTCCAAAACCCCTTCATTTACATCGGACTTAAATTTATTTCATACGTGTCTTACAAGATGTAGACATAATAGCACGGATGGCAAAACAACCTCCAAGACAGAAGAGCTCAACACCTTGTTGAAACAGCAAAGTATTGCATTATCTACGTTAACATGTTAATGATGCATATTAAAACAGGTATGTTACATTCTACACCTGAAATCGTTGAAATATTTCACTGGGGTTGATTAATTCATGCAGGCATTTGGAAGTTATCTTGATTAAAACCAGATCAAATATCTAATTGGAAATAGACTGGAACGTATGTTGATAAAGTAGTGAAAATGAAGGAGTAGACTCGGACATGATGTTATGAGAATTGTGGGGGAGGGGTATTAATTTATGTAGATTGACCATAAAATATTTATGCAAATTGTCCAAGATCACGAAGTGAGATGGTGTAAAGAGAATAAACGATATCAAAGTGAAAGTTATTTGGAATGTTTGACTTTGAGACCCTACTTTGCAGTTTTAGACGACAATTAATTTCATATTCAAAGAACTTAGACTATCAGCGTACCTTACTTAAATCCGTGACACAATCCAATACTATGTCATAGGTCAGGTGAAGTTAATCAAAAAATTCCAAAGAAACTCATAACTGAAACCCTTTAGTCCCCGACGCTAGATCATTGTCACTTAAATGATGAGTAACTTCCTGTAGGAGCATTATAGAGAATTAAATCGTATATAATGACAAGAACAGTGGGTTAACACACTTTGGAAGTGGATATTTAGCGTCCTTGGATAAAGATGGCCCGTAAATAATTATAAGGGAGGTGTCTATTAGTTGTCATTGCATTTGAAAAAAGGGGCAATGTATTTTCTCACCCACGAAGAATGTAGAATTCTCCCTTAGTAGTAACAAGTTATTTCCTCAGTTTATATTAAATATATATCGTCTCAGATATCAAACAGTTTAATTACTCCTAGTTAAACTCAGGTCAATCTAGGTGCATCAATGACTAAAAGTAACAAAAGTACCTGCTTCCGATGCACCTGCATCATCTTGTACGTACAATGCAGCTTCTAGTGAGTGATTCAAGCAGAACCAATTGCACCCGATGACCGCCTAACTCGCTAAATAACATTAAAAATGAATAACTGTCTGTGAAAAGTCTATACCCACTTGTTTGAAAGTTTATAGGTTAAAAGTGTATTACGCGAGTAGAAATGAATATTTCTAACTTTCTTTCCAATTCGTTCCATCTGAAGAACCGTAGTAAATGAAACTGCACCTCGTGTTTCTACGTCATCGACGATTCTTTTTACCTACTGGTCGCTTATCGCAAGTCCATCCCACTGACCCCCCATAGCGACCAAAATCAGAACTTGTCGAGATTTGGCACCTCCTTTTCCTGAAACCTGTCAATAAAAATGATAGTTAATTGACAAAAAAATCCATCTAAAATCCGTTTTCATGCATGCAATAAGTATAGTGTTATTTGTATAGTATAGTCAAGTACTGTGAGTGTATTAGTAATATAGAAATAGGTTAGGGACAGGAGAGGTATAAATTGTGTGGGGCTATCGTTTTCTTTCAATATGTGTGTTTGAAAGTAAGAGTAAAAGTCTAGAAGAGATAAAAGAGTATTTGATAACGTGTATATATATAAAGAGTAACAATGGGGAGTCTATTGTACCTGTGTATTATTTCTATCATTCCAATTACTAGTCACATAGCACATGGTAAGTTAAAATTTTTCAATTTAATTTCAAAAAAATTATTTTCAGTTCTCTAATGCATTGAGTCTTGATATCATTGACATTTTTAAAATTCAGCATTGATATGTAGGCCTATTGGATATTGACCTTTTTATAGAGAAGGCCTAACACGTGTTACAGCCGAGTCTAGGCAGATGGACGTTAAGCGTTAAGGCAATTGACGCTTGGGACTTTTGTAACGTTCTCGCACTCGCAGTCGCAGTGACAATTCATAAGTTTAATACATAATAAATTCTGCTTAATATGTTAATTCTGATATTTTCTCATACCATTGTTGATTGAAAAATAAACAGAAGGTTGAGAAACATGATTTTAAAACAAGAATTAGTCGTGTAAACGGAAGGCTGAATTTAGATTTACTCACAGACGTTTGAACTTTGATTTTAGTTCTTTGATAAATATGACATAATTGGGTATAATATTTGACTAGGGTTATAATTTGACAGTTGGTTGTTTATTCAGCAGGGAGGGAGGTCTGTCACTTGACCCACAGCTTATTTTAATCAACGTGTCTGTAACCTATAACCTTTAACTCCTCCACAAAATCGTGTGATTTCTTAATGGACCATTGATATTGACCACATTGTGAGATATTGGTCAGATTGGACCATAATGAACCAAAGTGGACCATGTTGGAACCATTGGACACGTTGGTCAAGTAAATGAGTACAATATAATAGTAGGGATAATACTGTCGTGACATTGTGACCTTGTAGACTGTATCCGTATTGAATTAAACAGTAATCAACAGTAGATAGACCACCCTTGTTTCTGGTACACCAGATTGCTGTTTGATTACCAACTATATCCGTCCTTCCGCTAAACATACTCTAATAGTTACAATTAAACCTTATATTGGATTTGATTGGAATGCGTTATGGTCGTCTTTGGTGTTGTTGAAACGATTGCATTGAATACAGAGCATGCGAAACTGGCTAGCTTGTATTGTGCACAAGATACGATGCACAAAAGCAGATTGCTGTGGTCAGAATGACTATATATATGTTTTCTTTCAGTTGACTTTATCGGAAATGTTAGGTGATTTGAACTATATACCAACATGGCTTTGGTGGTAAATTTATTATAGCCCTTGGTACCCTGATTGCCAATGTGTCTTTCCCACCATGTTATTAATCACACTATTTTAGCTTTGTAAGCATATTTCCTACAATCATTTTTACTAAATGCAAGAATTAAACGATAAGCGACATCTGTGCCATTTTTGAAAGAAAGAAATTGAGTAATAGTTGAGTAGTTGATGAAAGAAGTAATCTACACCTAGTCGATTAGGCATTATATAGACAGATAAGCACCATTCTGGTAGTGTTTTTCTGTGAGTTGTAGGTGGCAGTTAGCAATGAAAATATTCATTTCATATCGTCTAAATATCATGGGGTTGATACATTAGGTTATAAACATGAAGGTTCGAAACAGCTCTAAAGATCTTGGATTAGATATATAAGGTTATTCACACGTCGTTAATATAACAACTCAAAACTCTCAATACATAACATTCGTCCAAAAAAGGTCAATTACCATATGGATTGATCCTTACTAACATGACATTGAGAGCAGTTCCCTTACGTATTAAATCAGGTGGTTATGATGGTGACGGTGTATTGTATATATACATCTTACTTCAGATATCTGTAGATACATTGCAAATTTGTTTAAAACTAAAATACCATTTGAAACTACAAGAGCAATTAGCTTAATTCGTTATTTGTTAGTTGTTTTAATAACCAATTCATTGTATAAAAGTCATTGACCAGAGAAAACTAAAAGAAAATGCACCGAAATAAGAATTGTCCTGTCAAAATATATCGCCTGAGGTTCCACCCTATTTTTTAAGATAAAAACGTCCTTGTAAAGAACTGAACTAAATTACATTATTAAAAAGTCACGTCACTAAAACACGAAGTCTGGAAATCAGGTCATGAGACTTCCTACTCCCATTCATATTGTTGGTTGAATGAAAGTGGCATGTCAGTTCCTTTCTTAGAACTACAGGAACTATAGCAGAGTATGTTGACATAAATCAACGCAGGGGAACACTACACACAAAGTTTCCTGCTAGACAGCCACGGAGGTACAAATTAGTCAGGTTCAAACATGACTCACAATAAAGATACGTTACAGAACGTTAAGAGATAAATTGCAAGTTTAGTGTACATGTACTTTCCAAGCAGTTAAGCCTTTATTACGGATACAAAGCCCGCGGCCAGTCAGAGTTGAATATGTCAGAATTAAAGATACAAAGCTTACAGTTAGTCAGAATTAAAGATACAAGAATTTCGGTTAGTATAGAATTAAAGAAACAAAGCTTTCATGTAGCCAAATTTAAAGTTACAAAGCTTTCAATCAGTTAGAATTAAAGATACAAAACTTGAAGTCGCTCGGAGTTATAACGAAACAAAGCTTTCTGTTGAAATTAAAGATAGAAAGCTTGCAATCAGTCCCAACAAAGGATACTAGATTTAAGTAAGTCAAAATTAACGATACAAGGCCTTCGGTTGGTCAGAGTTGAATGTACAACAAAGCTTTCAGTTAGTCAGAATTAAAGATACAAAGATTTCAGTCAGCCGGAATGAAAAATACAAAGCTTTCAGTCAGTCAGGAGTAAACGTACAAAGCTTTCAGTTTGTCAGATTTAAAGATACAAAGCTTTCAGTCAGTCAGAATTAAAGATACAAGGCTTTCAATCTTTAAAAATACAAAGCTTTCAATCAGTCTGAATTAAAAATACAAGGCTTTCAGTCATGCATAATTAAAGATACAAGATTTTCAGTCAGACAGATTTAAAGATACAAAGCTTTCAGTTAGTCAGAATTAAAGATACAAAGATTTCAGTCAGCCGGAATGAAAAATACAAAGCTTTCAGTCAGTCAGGAGTAAACGTACAAAGCTTTCAGTTTGTCAGATTTAAAGATACAAAGCTTTCAGTCAGTCAGAATTAAAGATACAAGGCTTTCAATCTTTAAAAATACAAAGCTTTCAATCAGTCTGAATTAAAAATACAAGGCTTTCAGTCATGCATAATTAAAGATACAAGATTTTCAGTCAGACAGATTTAAAGATACAAAGCTTTCAGTTAGTCAGAATTAAACAAAGCTTTCAATCAGTCAGAATTTAAAAGTAAAAGGCTTTAGTTAGTCAGAATTAAAGATAAAAGGTAGAATTAAAGAAACAAAGCCTTTATTCAGTCAGAATTAAAGATAAAACTTTCAGTTAGTCAAAAGGTTTATCATGATAAGACACAAATGCAAAAAAGACCGCTTTTAAAAAGTTGTGTTTGGTGGTATTTCATTACAGTTTTCTCACTTTGATCTTGATGTACTTTTTTAATTTTTCTCGAAATACCCAGTCTCTTTACGGAAAACATTATACTAAGTTGTAAATGGGGCATGAAGCTAGCGTGTTTTGCTTTTTTGATTGACTCAATGTAATTACCTAATCTTTGTGTCTGTATCTTTATTTTGCAGCAAGAAGACATATACGAGAAGATTCTATAGTGAACATATATAGTGATAAACCCTCCGATTATTTACGCTTTGATATCTTATATCCAGATGATCTCAATTCAACTTCACAAGTTTATCTTAATGATCTCAAACCAGATTTATCCTATAATTATCACCAATTACAGTCAGAACTGGTCAGTGAAGTATTTATCTTTATTTAACAGTATTTAAGTTACAATTCTCAACTATATCATATGTGATGCTGAAGTGAAACATCACGCAATTGTCTTGTACCAGTCTAAAATAGCCTCCAATTAGGGTCAGTCAATATTTCTTTCTCTGGAGCAATTTCATTCATGAATTATATTTTAGGTATGGCGACTCCCTTCACAAGGGGAAATACGTTGACAAGCCAGCAACATACAAGCCTTGAGTGTTATTGAAGGCAAAGCATACACTGTCTCGATAGCGACCCCCACAACAGTAAATATTTTGTTCAATTGTTCATATAAAATTTTAAGTATACTGGGATTACGACATCCGGTGGTGTCGATATTGCAGCTTGGATTAATTTGAATGAAATGACGACTTAAGTGCTATTGCTCTGCTCTTTATGGGCTAAAGAAAAGAGAAACCTATGATTCATAAAGGTTGTTTAAGATTGCCTTGAAGCTTTGAAGCTTATTATTTGAAACATGGGAGGTAAATTTTCAATAATTTATTTCTGTGTAGGTTGTAGAATTCATTTCTGGTAATTGGTCTGTTTCTATATCATGTGATCAGTATCAGTAAATCGATACAATAAGTGGTGTCAATAATCTTCCAGGAATAGTATGACCTCTGTGAAACACCCCCATCTTTCGTTTTAAGTTATATTGTGTGATGCCGACCAATCAAAGCATTGCCACAAGGAACTGACGGAATCCATCTAAAGCCTGATTACTAATCAAAAATGTGATACAAAAATTATCCTAATCTAAAAATTCCCTAATAAACTCAAATCCTAATTCTCAAGTTACAGCCATGAAGGCCCAGATAACAGCATTTCAAAATACATGTCAAAGTTGTTGGCAACAGCAAATGTGAGGTAGAGTAGCTCATATTTCGGTGGCAAGTGCATTTTATCGACAGGTATTTATTTGATGCCATAACATACTGACTGTTAGCATGTCTATAACCGCCTCCAGGTATTAGAGATTCACCACCAAGGTAGAGAATAAATAGCGAGCTGTCTTGTACAGTATGTTTAGTTCCCAGATTGAATTACTGTAGTCATATATTATATAATAAAATTTCTGACATTATAGTAAATATTCTTCAGACTTTACCTAATTACAGAAACGTTAAAATTGTAAATTGCTGACTTTGCGCAATACCAGTTGGAGAGATAAACCATGTAAAATTCACGTGTAAATGGTATCGAGTTTATTTCAAACCATTACCGGCAATACATTTCGGATGCTGCCTAAAAACAAATTAACAAATAAATCTGGCTACAATCCCTAGAATCTCAATACATTGTCGGTTTTCTGAAATGGTTAATCCTTATTATTCTGTGACGAATATCACTAGGTTCATAATTGTTTTGCATGATATACATAAATCGGTTCAACGTTATGTGCATTATACAATATTCTCAGATGTCCTTGAAATTAAATCTCAGGGTCATTGGTACACTCTGCTTAAAAATGAATGTAAAAGTATTTAATATAAAACATGTTGTAGAAAAACCTTTAAATGCCACCCCGTCTGAGTTGATGCATTAAATGCTCTTTTTCATAAAATAATAACTAAATAAGCTACACATTGTCTATTTAGGCCTACAATTCACTTGATTCCACATTGAATATGCTTCTTTATTCGATCTTACATAGTTCGTAATCTCATCATAATGGATTGGACCTTTATCAGTGGTCTACACAATATTTATGGCAATAGGTAGTAAATGTTTCAACCTGCACTATGTTTTATAGAACCCGGAACCACTCTAACATCTTTATTATCATTAGAAATGTAGTACAGAGAATAAAAAATCTCATTAACTGAAAATTTATTGAGTAAAACACTGAAACTTAAGACATTACATTCTAGTAGATATAGTAAGATTGGTTCTGACAGTTCCGTCTGCTCATGACGTCATACCAGCATGATGAACGTTACTATTGAAATTACCCGCCCTGTTTGAGTCTAGGCTAATGACAGGCGTTCTTACATTTTCAGTATGACCCACTCTGGATTTTTTTATAAATGTGACTCTTTTGCGGTTTAACTCCCTGGAATTTCTGGTTGGTTCGATAAGGGAATCGGCTTAAAGCAAGAATTTAATGATAGCAGAATCTTGTTGGTCATATTGACATTTACCCCACTATCAGAAAGTTGATCCAAGTACCTGTTGCTATGTGGATATAAGGCCAGGAATCCCCTTACCTATCAAGAGTATCCGTGTTTTTATGAAACATATTTGTGGAACATCTGATATTAGAGGTAGTGGGGGCTGTTCTATTTTATTTTATATTTTTCGGTATTCTTTAAGATTATCAATGTTTTATTTCTGTTCACAGGAAAATGAAGCTGAAAAAAAAAAGTTCAACAAAGATGGTAGGTCTTGTTTGAATTAATCATCTGCTGATCATGAATCGTCTGGTCAAATCGGTTGGAAATTGAATTGCACAATCCCCTGCACGGTATATTGATTATAATCACATTTTGGACACTATCACAAGCAGAACAGCCAGATAGGTCATCGTTGACCTACATTTCTCTGTTCATCTTTCAGTCGAATCAGCAACTCATTATATAACTAAAAGAGCAGTACGGAGCAGGATTGATGGTAAAGTAGAAGTTTTGGTAGTTATAGATAACTCTATCTATAGATATTATATGAAGAAGAGTAGAAATAAGGAAAGAGTTGCTTTAGCTAGGATCAGACGCTACTATGGGATGGTGTTCGCAATGGTAAGAACAGATTCTTATTCCTTAATTTCGAAGTAGCAAAGATATTACCTTTGTAGACTGTTTTTTTTTCGGAATTTCTAACACTAAGAAGTTTTACTGAAATGTATTTTGAGCCTGTTTCCCTTCCATTCAAACTTTCCTACGATTAAGATATTATTAAAAATCTGTTTAAATACTTAGTTGAAAGTTTACACTGAAAAAATAGAATTCGAAAATGATGATGATTCTCAATGCCTTGAGCAGTTATTTGGCAGGAAACTTTATATATATTCCTTCGATGATGACTATAATGACAACCCTCAGGCATGGGGAAGTTTCATTTTGCACATTTCTGCAATTTTGTATATATCATTGTCCGTTAAATTGATCTCCTTTACTTTATTTTGATATCTCACCATTCTTCTCCTTGACTTGAATTACCCTCAATTGTCTGTCAGTGACGTAATACAAGTATTTTAGAATCACAGCAGGTGTTTCTGCCTACTTCCACGATTAAAGCCACTTTACACAGGATTTTGAAGCATTTTGTTGATGATTTTCTAAAATCCTTTCTAAATTCATTTTTTTAACTGAAGTTTGAAAAATGCCTTTACCAGTTCACTGATGCCATTACTTATACTTTAACATACATTTTCAATAATTTGCATAGCAGGATACATTGTTGATGGTGTGGTATAAAACTTCTAGTTCTACAATAATATTATTGGATGACTCTTGAAGAATGTGAGTTTAAGTATCAATGTCTATAAATACCAAATCAGTTTATTTTGATATTTGCAGGTGGACCAAAGATTTCAAACAATCAAAGATGATGAAATGTCGATTACTGTTAAAATCTCAGGATTTCATATCGCTAAGGTGCGTTTCTTTTTATGTAGTGTTTATTACCCATGCTGTTCTTGTATTTTTTCATTCTGAAATGCACGACTGCCACAGACAGAAACCTGCCCTCGGCGTAATATATGGAATTTGAAATTGACATAGAGATATAGCCATACGACAGGAAACAAATCTTAGTCTTAGGGGGTTGTGTTTTTCATTGATAGATTTCAAAAAATGATTGTTCACATTTCGCTACGTATTTGTCAATTGCTCAATCCAGTTTTCAATGATAACGACACTATGTCAGATTGACTAAATTCCTTTAAGACCTGTAACATAGACCACGGAGTTACAAGTTCTTATTTCATAAAAAATCACACAAATTTCATTTACGCTATGTTTGACTATATTCCGAATCTTGCTTCAGCACATATTATTCACTTTCTGATATGTAAGCTTCTATATTTTAATCTCTTAATTCCACCCTGAAAACTCGTATTAAAGATATAGTAAGAAACGATGGAGTGAAATGATAATAATTGTATTAAAAGGTGCTTTATTGAAGATAAGACTGATGAGTGATATACTAGGAGAACTTCCTACTAAATTAAGATAGTAAAATTCCCGACGGTAGAACATGATAAGAAAACTATGTCGAAATGTCTGGTGCCCTGGCTGTCTGGGATGACCTTAAGGGTAGCAAATGGGTGTAGGCTTAGGAATCGGTCATCCAGCAATAGGTCATCTATAGATTAACCACAATGTTGCCTTATTACGATCTGAAATATATTTTGATGAGAAGCATTGATATAGTTTTTGATCTCGTTTCTATTTCAATATATAGTTCTACGAAACTGTCGCTTGCAGAACTGTGCTTGACTCTGAGTTTTGTGGTCAGAATTACATAGACTTAAGAAAGCACTTCTACCCTTAAACCACTTTCTGACCACAGACTGTATTTCCATGTGTATATTTCTGACCTCAGGACACACCAATTGCTCTTTAGATCTGGTAATTTCGTCTGACATATTCTGACAAACAACCAGGTGTAACTAACCGTATGAAGTGACAATTTATTAGAATGGAAGACTCGAGTTCACGGTGGTGTTCTTTAATCTAATTTCCAGTTTGAAAGGTCGATGGCTCTAGCCTATGATAACCACCAATCATAATCAAGTGGTTTTTTGAGAATTTCTGGCAATCACGCACTCAATACCTTAGTACTAAGAATGTGTAAAGATCGTTGAACTTTCGTCCGTAATAATACCTCCTTATGTCTTTATCTAGTCTCGTCTTGAATCTGCCTGGTTAGAATATGTGGTCGAGTGGGGTAAAGGTCGTACAGAAGCTAAAGTGGATGCCAACACCGCTCTGAAAAGGTTTCAGAAATGGTTGCGGATTCAAGATACTATACCAAAGCATGACCACGCAATGGTTTTCACAAGGTAACTAAATTATCCAATAACAAACGTATTTAATACGAATATTTTTGCATTAGTGTACCATCCTTGTTGCCTTACTTGTTGCAAAATGCACGCGCAAATTGACCTTCGATTTATATACATGTGCTTTCATTTCCAAATACAAGAAGGTAAACAAAACCTTAAGACGCGGTGAGTGTTAAAACCACATAAAGCCTGTAGTCTGCACATTCTGATGTCTTTATGACACAGGGCTCTGTTATGTCACGATGCCTTCTGATGACTATGTCAAACGATGATGACTCAGTACATGTCTATGTAAATGTAATTTACGCGTAATAAGAAATATAATTCACCTAATTAAGACATGATTTAAGATGATAAGCTCCAGTACTATAACTTATTATTTTCAGATATCTACTAGTTACAAGAGGTACTGTCGAAGTTGGTGGTAAGTACTTCTATTTGTTTGAACAAGTACTGAGTATTATTGGGTGAATTGGCACTCGACCTTATTCAGGGCGTAAATCGTACGCCAGACATCTGACATCATATTCGTGAAGTCAGGTGCCGTGTCCAATCCACACCTCCATATTCGTCATAAATTTCCCGAAAAAGATATATCAGTTTTCGTATTAAGACACGATTTCCCTTAGATTTGTACTTTTCTGCACCTTCCGAATATCTGGTCCATTGTGGTCCATATCTCAATGTGTTTGTTTCCCAAGTTGATCAACGTATTACGCGTGGTTGCTTCAGAAGATCGCCGATATTTACCACGAACGGTAATTCATTAATAATTGTAAATTGTAAACCTACTGTATTTATACATGAATTATTTAAAAAAAATGTACTTTATGTTTTGGAACATTGTCAGATGTATTAATTAAAAAAAGAAACATCTTGTTCGCCTACACGTGATTATTCTCTTGTTACTCATTAGGTTTCTTTACACATAAAGGGATCTCGTTGTCTAATTATTGTATTGGCTACAATTCAGCTGTTTGTTTTACAATTGCTCATTCTTACGATTAATAGGATACACCAGCTCCATATAATTTTGCGTCAAGCAGTCTGTAGATTTGATAAGAGTAAAACTTATAAATTTGAAACTTATGTTACAAAATCATGGTCTTGAAGATGTACTTTTGGCATCGGAAAGTCTTTTAAACTTGTTCAACTGAACTCCACACATCCGGATTATGGTTTATAATATTTTCTTTAAAACAAACGTACCTGTAATCATGTTTGGATGTTTTGACAAATTTATTTTTAGAAATAAAAATTACACAAGGTCTATTCTAGTAAAACAATACTCAAAGTCAACAACCCATATATCTGAACTTGGTTTAATTTTCATGACAAACTGTCGGAAGTACAGTAAGCTTACACTAGAAATATCATTACATGACTAACAATACAAACTTGTTAATGTAGATCTAATATATGTCAATGTTTTAAAACACAGTTATCTTTCCTTGTATCGTGACCACAAATTTCCAATAAATTCCTCTATTGTATTCAACCGGAAGTCACGCAAGAGTACATGCAGATTGAAAGAAAATTTAGAATTTTTAACAGGAAATGAAATATTATGATATTTTGTATCTGTATTATGATTGTCGTTTGATACCATGTTCCTGTCTCATGAATAGCATGAATGTTGCTGCTGACCGACTATCACTAGCGGGTCCGCAGCCAATGGTCGTTTATAAGAATTTTGTTCAGTCGGGTAGTGCCTTGGCTCCCTGTAGATATCATAAGTCTACATAAGTCAAACTGAAGTTGTCATAATCCGAAGTTGTGTTTGCGCTGATGGTCAAACGCTCCGAAACGCTCAACTACTCAGAACAAGTCACTCCCGGTTACCATTTTTAAAAGCTGGCAACTTTAAGCTGAGGTTCAAAAGAGGTTTTATATCTTAGTATGGGTATTGGGGATACTCTTGATGTCTTTAGTTTCCTTTAAACCAAATGGAAACGTCGTAATCTTGTTTTGTTGTGCAATTAGAATCCTCATGTGCAATTATGTTGAAATACGATCTAATTGTTCTGCAAATTTGAACATTCAAAGAACATTCAAATAGCATTGAGATATTCTGAAAACCTTTGATTTCATTTCAGGTATGGCCTTCGTAGATTCAATCTGTCAAACAAAAGAAGGAAGCAGTTCATCCATCGTGGTAGATATGGGTGATTTCCAATGTGTTAAAGTGGCTACTCATGAATTAGGTCATAGGTAAGTGATCTGTCTGGCATCTACAAATAGACACAAACCCTAAAAATAGCTGATAGTCAACACGTTTTCATCAAATTTTACTTTTATTTTATTCCTTCCTTCACATCTGGTGACCTTTTTAACAAGATGTTGTAATGAATAATGGTATAAAGTTAGCTAATATCCGTCCATCTTAAGTTCGTCGCGTCATGATCCCCACCTGTTCAGTGGTTCTCAACAAGTTGTTTCTCTTCTAGTTGAGCAATTCATTTTTCAAGATATAGGACAGTGTTCTAAGAATTGCAGATTAAATAATGTAGTATAACTTTCATATGAACCACAGAGTTTTGGTGGGCTGTGGAATCAAAACAGGCAAGGTAATGCAGGCAAGATAATGTGATATCACTATAGTTCGTTACTGCAGCAATGCATCTGCTTTGTGTGTCGCAGGAACTGTATTGCCAAGATTTATTCCAAGACTAGGCTCAAAATTTTCTGATTCCCTGTATATTGAAATGAAATATACCTTTGGTAACTTTAAAATTCACTTGATGGAACTGATGATTTTGTTTCAAGTTGACCTACATGTACTATCATCAGGTACCACACCCAATATTCTAACCTTGAGATAATTACCCTGATAATTATAATGTTCTTAACTAACCTATTTACCTCCCTGTCTGCCGACTTTCAACTTTTAAATTGAATTAAATACAAATTATAATGTAAACGAAAGAGCAATGAACTTTGTTAAACCTTGCAAGATATTTAATTAGTTATCTTTCTGCGTTGTGACTTTACATAGACCTCCAAGGTCGGAGGAACGGAACGGGGCGTTCGTAATGACTATATATTACAAATTCGCAATCGTATGATCCATTGTGATCATCTAGAAAGTTATCCTAGAAAACCGTCTTCTTTCCACCAAGATTTAGAACCATTGTTTGATCGACGGTTTATTAGACTAATAATGTGCAAGAACTTTAATGTTGCTGAAATTGTATGGTTGAATTGATACAGATCTATACTACCGCAGTAAGCAATGGCCAAATTTAATGGCTAATTCGACAGAAGAATGTCAGTAACTGTCCAAACTCAGACTTTGACAACTTGGAGTAAAATGCAGTTTTTGTTTGAAAGATAGGTTATGGGAACTGAATTATGATATGAGAATGAAATAAATTGAAGACAAATTTCAATATGTTAGATATTAGATTAAATATCTCCTCAGGGTATCATTTCAACTCTCATATTGGTGTACTTAAAATAACTTAAATATTATCATAATAGGCTTAATATTCACCATCTTGCCTTCTTTAAAAACCTACAATTTTACTCTTTTCATCTCTGTTACCAACGTGGTCAACCGAGTGCACTGTTCTCAGAATCAGATCGTCTTTAATTCGTCCTTTAAAACAGACACACACCAGTCGAGTTAATGTCAAATATCAAAGAGATCTTGTTGACGATTGTGTTTCTGTTGTTTTGACTTGAAATAAAATCATGTGGAACCTTTTACAACAAATATACAACAGTTTAAAGTCTGTCACAAGCGGATTTCAAGTTAAATACTTCGGGACTGATATTAATTGACAAAGGTGCATAGAGCAAGATGTTTCATTTGGTATTCATTGGACACCCGAATCAATCTTAATTCAAGACAAATGATTTTCAAACATACCATCTCCTGCGATTTGAAAATGTCGAATTTTGAGAAAATTGTGTAACGTCTGCAGTCTGGCTGGAATAAATTCTGTAAAGGAATATTCTCACGTTTTTGAGATATGCTCACTTAGTTTAAGTTTGAATGTTTGGTAACTTTCTGATAGTCAGATTTAGAAATAGATTGAACTGGCTCTCTGTCTGTCTTATCATTACATAACTTATAGATCTTACATATTACACATGTACAATTCCATGTTGAAACTATTTCCGTGTTATAGTTTATATATTTACAATATTCTGAGAGAAAAGATCTGTGTTAAAAAAAATTGAACTTTACCTGATTGATTTAGTTTAATGATAACGAGTATTCTGATCTTTATATAAACCGTGTGGTATTTTACCACTGACATATATCTTGCATAATTTTCAGATCTTAGTCAGTATTTCTTGTATTTAGACAACAAAAAAAACAACAGAGAAATCGGTAAACGTTTTTTATGCTGACTATTGAAAGGAAGGATAACGATATCATGGTCACCATACTTCAATACCGATCATATCGAGTACTAATGTTTATTGTATTGTATATTCCAGTCTTGGAGCTGGTCATGATGGCGATGGTAAAAGTGCTGATTGTCCTCCAGATCATAATTATGTCATGGCACCACAAAACTCTAATCTGAAATCCACTTTGAAAAATGCCTTCTTGTTTTCACCTTGTTCTATCAGACAGATAAAAGCTCTTATCAGGTAAGCCATCCTTTCTTTTTTTATGAAGGGACGAAAACGGTGAACTCATGTATACACCAAAATAAAATATATACTCTACCAAAACGTAGAGTGGCGTCAGGAAGATCAAATGTAACAGAACAAGTAGATTCAGATTTACTGGAAAAGTTACCAATGTATCAATCATTGACTAATGCTTCTCGTAGCAGAAACCTCTTTCTCGGCATAAACCCTCTTACCATGAGCATGAAAACGAAACTAAATATGCTGATTTTGTGAAACATCTGTGTCTCCTTTCCTTGAATATTTGCCCTATACTTTAAACATATGATCACCAGACAACATAGTGATAGCCATCATGTACTAGAGTACAAACTGATTAAGTAAATTACACTGTACTTTTGTCTTCAAAGAGTACAGGTTGCAGTATAATTACAATTAGAACACTTAAAACAAACATCCCTGGGTCTCGACATTCTTTAACAAAAGATAGGGAATATATCATGAACTCCTCCCTCAGGTAATTACGTGATTAGACGAGGGTAACCGCTGAGTTTTGCTCTAGAATGATAATTCTAATAGTTCAATCTTCCATAGTTTCATTTTTAGTCACTAGGTCATGGCCTCCATATGAAATATCATCAACACGTGTGAAATATTATCTGATGGAGAAATGAAATGAAATAAATATTCAGCACTACATTTCTGATGTTTGGTGTCAATATATATCCAGAGGCCTTGAGCAGATATTTTCCTACCTCTAGTTGTCAGTGATCATGACATACGTGTACTTTAGCATCCTACGACAATAATTATAACATTTATGACACATCCAGTGCTTTGAGAAAACGTAACCATAAACAGTCTAATCGATCTAAGACAGCCCATGCTCTAAGTATCGGTGGTCCGTGAGAACGCCTGCAGTATCCATAACCTAGGACAAAGGTTGCAGCATCTCAGATCTTTGAGAAGCATTCATGACCTTGGACACCGCTTGTAGCATCCATTACCTGGGACGAACTTGCAGCATCCATGACCTCTGACACCGCTTGCAGCATCCATGATCTGGAAGACGCTTGCAGCATCCATGATCTGGAAGACGCTTGCAGCATCCATGACCTGGGACAGCGCTTGAAGCATCCATGACCTTGGACAGCGCTTGAAGTATCCATGACCTGGGACAGCGCTTGAAGTATCCGTGACCTGGGAGACGCTTGAAGCATCCGTGATCTGGAAGATGCTTGATGCACTCATGACCTGGGAGACGCTTGCAGCATCCATGATCTGGAAAACGCTTGGAGCATCCATGACCTGGGACAATCCTTGCAACATCCATGACCTGGGACAACGCTTGCAACACAAGGCAGTATCTAAGAGTTGCAGAACCAGAACAGTTCTTGTAATATCTGCGAATATCTTCCTTTCACCGCATAGAATATACATATATAAGTTTAAAGCTTTTTCGCATAGTTATTTAAAGTTTTTAAGATAGAATTTGCAACCCATATCTCACTTCTAACTTAGTAAATCAGACCACAGTGGATGTGGTAGCATTTAAGGACTATACTTGAAGCATTGAATATATTATGAAGATATGTTTATTTCTATAGATCGGAGAAAGGTAAATGTGTACAAGATATACCTGTTATTCATTACCAATATAATCTAGCTCGGCGACCACCAGGCCAGATCTACAATGCTGGTAACCAATGTAAACTTATCTTTGGACCAAAGTCTGGATTCTGTTCGGTAAGTTTTTGGTTAATTATTAGAAATATAAATACATGGTTCCTGTAAGTCATTATATTGTCTGGTACCAATAAATGGTTGGGATGTTATATTGTTACAGCATCAATAAATGACTGGTCTGCTATCTACGTTGATTTGTTTACTTCAACCTCTGGCGTTTCTAAACGATCTTCTACATGACCAGAGTTTCCAAACTACTTTTCAAAAATTCGGTTGGATAATCAAATTGGCATATATCATTTTAAAGGATAACCACCCATCCATTCGGCTCTTTGTACAAGTGGCGTTACGAGGATGGGGGAGTATTTTATATCAGAGTTCTTAAATGCCTTGTGCGTTTGCAAACCACCACCCCCGCCCTGATTTTAATAATGTTTTATATTACAGAAAGGTAAAATGAGATCATCTATGTGTGGACAACTATGGTGTAAAGATCCTGTTAACAATAGAACCTGTAGAACACATTCCTATCTCACAGCTTTACCAGGAACTAAATGTGCTGGTGGAAAGGTATGGTTATAAAATTTCTAGCTACCACTAACGTTCAGAACTCCTGCACCTTCTCGCGTTAGTGCAGATCTTCAGTCAAAGAATACATTCGTTATTCCTTTCGCGACAAAAATCTTGCCAAGTATGAAAAGGGAACTGTTGCCGAGGCTTTGGTGAGCACTGAATTTGCATTTTGTCCAAGACTGGTTCATAGCCACACCTCAAACTACTCCAGCATATAGAAGAGTGGAACTTAAATAATTTCCGACCGGATATTTATTTTTGTCTGAAACCAGATATATTTAGTCAATATCTTCTTTAGGTCTGTCATCTTGGAGAATGCCTACGAGATCCTAACAGTGTGATACCTTTTACACCACTCTCGTCCAACAGTATTCAAATAGACAAAGCATCAGCAACTCGACATGCTCAGAAAGTCAACCATCGTCTGAGCAGACTGAATAAACCTAGAGGTAGAATGGCTCGTCCTAGAAACCGAGGGTTCCGTTACAGAGCTAGAATACGATCTAGAACCAGATCAAGAGCAAGGGCATATCGGCGAAAACCAGGTAAGTAAGGGACACTGCCAAGCTACCACTATGTGCAGAACTTAATATATTTTTAAGTTTGGTAGCATTCTGATAATTTGAGGGAAGGATCCGCTTGGTAAGGGGCACTTGTCCAAGATTTTGTTAATATAATTTAAGCTCGAAGAAGTCGTATATTTGTGAAGTGCATAAAGCGACAGGACATAATTTTACCTACGTCTCGGTTGGTACTCAATTTTAATAAGTACATGATCTCTTGTTTTAGCTCATTGTGAAGATAAGAATCTAGGTTATTGTAAAGGACTGTTGAAAATAAATCCTAGAGCTTGTCGAAGAAAACAGTTACGGGAGTATTGTTGTAGTACGTGTTATAGTCGGTGAACTGTTGGAGCTGTTGGAATAACTTTCATGATCTGAAAGCTAATGTTTTCTGGACATACAGCTGTAAGGTTAAACTTATCATTCAAGTTTGGTTGGTGACCAAATTGAACCATGTATGATTTTATACAACCTATGAAGTAAAGACTGGCGAATTTAACGTCAGATAGGGAAAATGTGCAATTTATACATTATTAGTGCCAAAATATTATCATCAGACATCACAGTGAATTCAGCATAATATAACTTCAGTTAATCACTGCCATTTTAATATTACAAATATGAGTCTCTATTTTATAGTCATTATAGTATTTGATCTATTCAATAACAGAAAAAATAAATGAAGTTTACCGCGACCCCGAAAAAAACAACTTATTCTCAAGATAAACTATTAATGATGTTCTCAGGTGGTTAACTCTTTGCAAACAAAATGAACAGAATGCACATAAGATTAAGTACCATATATTAATAACTTCATTAAAAATATTACAGAAACATTCCATTTTGCTGTAAATAACTTTTTTTAAATATAATTTTGTCTTTGTTCAACCCCCAAAATATAAAAATAACGAAATTTGATTGAACAAGTTAAGAAGAAACTTTTTGGGCCACCCACCTATCCAGTTTTCCATGTTATACTTTATTTGTCTCACAGAAATTTATTCTGTGCAATAAATGGTTAGTGCAAATCCAAAATAGATTAAAGAATGAATTTTATATTTATGAAATTGAAATGTTGTTTATGGGTGTTTTTGTGACAATAGTTGTTTATTATTATAGTTGTTTATAATTTCTCAGTATTATTTATTTTATTGTTCTATTTATTATTGTATTATAATGAATCATTATAGTATTATTGTATTATAATGTATCTTTATAGTATTATTTTATAATTCTGAATCTGTCATTTATTGTATTGTATTTTAAATTTTAATATATTACAATGGTATAGTCAAATTACAATTGATATGTAAATCTTTGATATTATTATTAGATATTATATTATATATTATAATATTACATGATTTATTTCAATCATATGGTGAATCTGTGGCTTTAAAGCCTAGAAATTCAAATGATTATCCCATGCGAAATCAACAAGTAGAGACCCCTTTTCAATAATAATTTGTATTTGCCACTGATATTAACAACCTTTATTGTATAGTAAGTAATGTGTGTAGTTGTTTTTGAATTGTAAATATTGTAAACCTTTGTATTGTAAATTGTTGTTATAAGGATGTAAATCACTGGTTATGCTATATACTGTACGAGAAGAAAATCAAATAAAAATCTGGTCAATGTTTCTCAAAAACGTTTGTATGTATGTTTGTGATAAATATAATATTTAGCATAAAAACTGTCACACAAGAGAAAATTTTGAAGCTTACCATTTGTACCCTACATATTTTTAAAAATGGTGTAATTTGTAATTTTGATTTAGGTTTTCTGTGAGGAAGAAATCATTTTCAATCACTGCCATTTCTGTTTTTTTTTTTTGGAATACAGTATAGTCAGTGGTAACACTTGTTTAATAATAATAAATTAGATATTGTACATGTTTTGCTTGTAGTTATTATTTTTATTCAAATTTTATTTTCATTTGTATTCTAAAACTATCTATAAATGTGTTTTTTGTAATAAATTTTCAACAAAAACAAATTGTCTTCAACAAACAACCATTCATATAACCATGAACCATAAACCATAAAACCCTTACATCAAACATATTATTTTATGTCATTCGGTGTGACACTTCTTCCCAACTGAAAAACAAGTTTTCCTCAAACTCTGGTTTATTTTGTAGAGTCTACAATATACAATGAATTTTTGAAGAACTAATTGTTGAATTTTAACAACAAGCACTGGTCATATATCATTCAATCACAAAGATGATACTGAACATAATTTAAAATTTTAAATACAAGTACATGTTGCTGTTTTTTTTCCGTAGATACACAAGATATTTTTGTCAGATTCACATGACATCTTGATTTTTCTGGAATGGAACAGTTCATTGTAGCTTCTGGAAATTGTAAAGTTTCAGGGCGTTACACCATTAAAAAAAGGCTTGAACTTTTACTAACTATCAGCTGTTTTCACCAGTAACAAACATATGAACTGATTTTTCTGAGTTGATCATAACTGATGCTCTTTCTGTCCCAATAGTTTCAGCTAGTTTCTGAACATCATATTTACAATATAATACACTACAAGTTAATTCTACATTATCCATATTACGTTTTGGATCTTTTAACATGTTACAGAGTTCACTATAATAATGGGCATAATGTGGTAGTTCGTAAAACACTATATGATGTATTCCTCTTACACGATACCTAAAACAGAGAACAATTTCATTGTTATATTAACAAGTGGTTGCCTATACATTATCACTATATCAAGGGCAGTCACCTATCTGTGTCAAATCATACCAAAATCTAATGATATTGTTGATTTAAACAAACACACATTATTTAATAAAATTCTCACATAAACTGTTCATCAGAAGATCATCAAATTCAAAATTGTCTAAGATCTCATCAATATAATGCTCAAACATATTGACAATGCTTATGATACTTAATGCTGAATGGACAATGAAAATTTATATCAAGAATCTGTTAAATAGAGGATTGTGATCCTCAAAAATAAGCTGCCAAGCTAGTCTGGTCAATAGTGTCAAATAAACAGCCCTGAAACACAATCCAAAATTAGTTCTTGAAAATTAGATGTGTTTTCATGTTTGAGGATTACATTCATTTGTAAATACAAGATTTGATATGATTGGACATCACTGGACAATACACATCAAGTATATCACTATACCATATAGCCAAAAACCAAAAGAAAAGGGTTCTGTTTGATTATTACCTTCTATAGAAATGTAATCGTTCTGTGTACAACATGAAAGGTACTTTACCAACAAAAAATAACCATCTATATTTAGATAACTTGTCTTCTTTTACATATCTATTATAGAATAAAATAATGAGAACTGTACATCTACAATAATTTAATATTTTCACTGTTAAAATAGTTCTCAATAGTTCTACAGCCATATATATTTTTGAAGAAAAAACATTTTTTTTAGTTTTTTACATGCATGTATTAACAAAATGGACACATCACAAAAACTAAAAAAATCTACATTTTATCCTTACGATTTTAACAAGTAAAGAAGCACAACATCAACATCAAAGTCAGGTGATGTCTGATGATAAATAGCTCTATACAACCAAGTCTGTCCAACGTGCCTGTATCTCACATGACAAAGATAAAGCATTAACTTACTCATTCATTTGTACAAAATTCATTTCTTCTTTAACAAAGTAATTTCTAATTCTGACAAAATCAAAATATGATGGTATAAAAACCATGGTGTGTTTCTTCATGTGATCTTGTATATTGGGTAATATCTATAATAATATAGAGAAAACAGTTAAAGGGATAGTAAGACGGTTCCACTAAAAGTAAGCGTTATATAGAAACATCAGAAAGGCCATTAGATATTATTGGCAACTTTTTGCCTTTAAGCTGATAGGGAAATACTAGTTAATAAGAAACTTTTCTGCATTTCATCATGTGAAATAGCTGGAAATTTCTTCTAATGCATACCATCTTAATGATCATGCAGATTTTTAGCATTCCATTGAAATCATGGAATACAGGTTGTACTGGGATTATCATTTTCATAAGTAACGTTTTATCAAAATATATTATATATGAATTACCTTTTTCACAAAGAAATTAAATCTATCATCACAAACTTGACTAAAATTATTACAGTTAAAACGATGAAAAGTCTGAAATAGTAAAATACAAAACATGATAAATATGAAATGTCTAACACAATAGATACAATAATATCTGTGACATCATTTATATAGTTATCATAACTAATATATGCCTATTGGGATCAGATTGAAAACCATGCGTTTTTGACAATTATAGAAAATTTCCTAAGAAATTCCAGTCCAAAACTACTGATGAGCAAGTAAAAAGACTGTGGATTTATTCTTCATTTATGGCTTCATATTGGACTGAGATTATATAAATATATATAAACCTGAGGTAATTGTGTTACTATATGACATATACTACCATTACTTGGTTTACGTTGTATCTGTATTTTACCACTATAATCTTATTATAGTTAAGGTCTAATCTTTTCTACTATAAATATATACATTCAAGAAAAATTGCATCCAAGCATTTCATTTTAGTATAATTCTATTTAACCCAAAAAAGAAAGAGTAAAATTTTTTGAATTGAATACACACCTAATGTTTTCCTCTGATGAAAACAAGTGTAAATTGTTTTGTAATGTAATGTTTGTTATTAAGGATACTATGTGAATTCTTATTGAATAAAGCTGTTATTTCTGGAGAAGATATCGAACTAAATACAGCAGTTTGTCTGTAATATTGACTCCTATAATATACAATTATACATTTATATACATGACACAAATACAAATTTCCACTGTTAAAATAGTGCTCAAAATTTGCAAACATCAGTATGGACACAGAATGAAATAGGTTAGAAAATTGGGAGAAAATCGCGCTGATTGTTTACAAAAAAACATGTATCATTCTAATCATCTATGGTATTTTCATCCCTGATGTCCCTGATCTGTATTCCTGATTTTCAATTGCTATTAAGAATTTGATTTGAACTTGAAACAAGTATATAGTAACTCTCACCATCCTTCTAATGTCCACATTCTAACTCTAGAAAAATCTACACCATGTCCATCTTTAGGTTGTTGATGCATTTTCTTCATAATTTGCTAAAATAAATTGTAATAATTGTAACATTAATATCAGGACACCATCAGTATATCACATACTTAAAAATCTTCAGTAAGTTTTTAATGTTTTAATCTTCTTCTCCATCAAGACATATCCCTTTTAATTCTAGTTAAGGAATTTTTACAATGTTAACAGAGATTTATATTACACACATTACAATTTGAAGAGTACTCTAAGGAACGCTATGTGGTGTTTTGGGTCTGTTAGTACATAATAATACAATTAAGCAACAAGTTTTGATATATATGAATAATACATACCATAACATGATCCCAATTCTGCATGAGGAAGACATCAGCTTGATCAACTATTAATAATTCTATTGATGATAGAAAATCACTGTCTCCTTTCTCACTATAATAAATAATATAATATCTTTTACAGCTGTCTCTTTAACACGTCTGCTACTGCTACATATTTCTATTGTGTTTCACTATAGCTGATCATGATTTCACAAGATTTTCAAAACATCCAATCAAATTGCTTTTACATAGTCAATTTTACGGTTTGTTTTGTAAATTTGAACATATGCAGGAAAATCATATGGGATGGGCACACTTGTTTCAAAAAGTTAACTTGGACAAAGTGAACCCCATTTATTTATTGATAAGGGGTAGTTCTTTGAATGATTATGTGACAGAGTTTTGAAGACAACTTGTGTGACTTGTTAAATGATTGTACCTACCCCTCTGTACCAATAATCGTCCTCAATCCCAGTGGTGAAGCAATAATTAAATCTGACATATAGAAATGGGAGTAGAGTTTTATCACAGATTTACAAATTTGTACACCAAATCTAAAATGATCATCTATATTACCAGCAAATAATGCATCAAAATCCTCTGAAAATACATAGAAATATAATGAATCGTCAGTGATTTATAGTTAATAGTTAACCAATTACAAAATAACAGATTTACCAACATCCCATCTTAAGCTGCCACCCCATGTTTCAGATAAAAAATCCTCATCAGGAGAAGACAGCAAAGTAATTGAACTCCAAGATATCATCAAAAAGAAATAATCAACATGGATATTTCATGTGCTTCCTCAGCCTTATTTTATATTAAGATACTTCCAGTTTTACTTTTAGATTCTAAAATCATAGATAATTTGTTTGCTTTCTTGAATAAAACTTTTAGCAAATTCAGGAGTGGCATTAAAAATAATACAATGCAACACACATTATAGTTTTATCTTACAAGAGATATAGGCAATATAACTTACCTGGTTTAACTTTCTTTTTATCTTCCTCATCTTCTTCATGATATTCCTGAACAAATCTCTTTCTATTCATCATTTTAGCCTACAATAGTAATATTACACTTGCAAAAAAATTTACAGCAAAGTTAAAATGAAACGAAATGAAATGATTGGAGTTTTACGTCCTACCTTTCTGCAAGTAAACTAGAAGGTTGACATTATGTTAAGCTTGGTTCTGCCTCAGACTTTTTTACTATTAAGGTTAAATTCAAAGTTTAAAAATTTTCTTTTTGTTTTAGCATCTCTAAGTTCTTTACTCATTTGAAAGAGAAGTGGTGAATCATTTAGTTTAAAACTGGCAATCAAAGATTTCTGAGAAAAGAATAACAGTAAAAAATACTCACTTTTTTGCCAGTAGTGATTAAACTAATGAGTATATTGACTATTTTATAAGCTGATTCTCTAAATGGTACTAATATTAAAACTTTGGGTCGTGTTAATCCTTGATCACGATAATCTCTGTAACATAATCAAACCACAAATTATAAGTTAACGTCATAAAAAACACTAGGATCTGGAGAAGATTTATAGCACATTTTACATTTTACGATGCTGTTATTAACTAAAAATCTAAATAGGGTAAAGACCTATAAATACTCAAAGCTACGTCATAAAAAAATTGTCAAAAATTTAAAATGGATCATGATTGCTAAAAAACTGTCGAGAAACTTTACTCAATTTGAATTTGAAAGATAGCTCCTGTTTTATTTTATATGTATATATTTCAATTTGATACCAGAATATGATAACTTACTCATCAGTAGATGATTTCTGATCTTTTATCTTAGTATTGTTACCAATGACTTGATTTCGGGATCTGAAAATTAATATAAAATTATGACAAACTTTCAATTAAGTGTGTAAGACCATGAGTTGTTTCAACAACAACTCTTCCTGTCAAAGTTCCACACTTTCTGTGGTCATGAATTTGTGTGAATAAACAATACAGATATTTAGATCTTACTTGACTATATGATTTATCAGATGTAAACAATAGGCCAGTCTTATTTCTTCTTGGTTATGGTGGCTTCGTTCACTATAGTATACATCCTGTAATAGACAAAATTGGGAGTTATAAATGTACCCTTCTGCAGAAGCAATGGCCTGGGCAAAAAATCTATTTTGGAGGCAAAAATAAAATAGTAAAAAGTAGTAAAATCATAAACAGGAAAGTAAGATTAAATATATAAAACTGGTTCATCTTAATTCTTTTGCCATCTCTATAAAATACAGTGATGGAAAGGGTCCTAATTAAAATAAAGGGATTTACATCCTACTTGTCTACATCTAACTGCACTCAAGAGACCTGGAAAATGTCTATGTTGATGGATGAAATGCAATTTACGATTTTAGACTTTGAAACCAAATTTTTTTTCAAAATTTTTAATATATTTTATAAGATATCATATCAACCAATGAGAAAGATGATAACAAAAGTCTTACCTGATAATTATTGAGAATGTTGAAAAGTCCTTGTTGTAAGGGGGATAACTCTTCTGTAAAATAAAAGTAAATGTCAAAAATTTAATAAATGGACACACTGGATTAGTAGAGAAGTATTGGAAGTAAAATTGAATACAGAAACCAGTGATTACCTGTATGTATATTACATAATGTCGAATTAGTCTCTGATATTTTCTTCTGTAACTTTTCTTGTATCTGATAGGTAGAAAATAAAGCACTATTTTATGGTAAATCAGTTAGCCATTTCTATATTTGATAGAAGTCTGCATACAACTTACAAGTACTTCATTTCTACACACACTTAACAGTTTGAATCAACTCAAAAGAGAAGAGTAAATGCAACTTTCAAACGCAGATAAGAAGGCTCTAATTCTGACAGTGAGCTATGAACACTATGACTGATAATGTTTGCTAAACAATTGCCATTTCTCAGACTAAGGTACAATTTATACAATAGGGATCAAACGGATGATGAATATACCAGTTTAAAGTGATTTCTACTTAATAAATACAACATAAACACTTACATGTAATTTAGTCAAATGTGTATCTTTATAATCTGTGATAGGTAATATACTTTTATCTATATAACTTATCTGTGCCTTTCCTAATCCAGGTACCTAAAAAAGAAGGAAACACATATAATAAAATTTCCAAAACAACCTTTCTTTGAATGGGCGCATGTCTACATGAGAGATTGACTTTATATGAAAACAACAAAAGAAAGAAATTTTCTGTATCTGAATTTGGACACATGATATACTTAATGCAGACCAATTATGGATCATCCTATATAACTTGATCTAAATTCTGAGATTTAAGTCTTATTATCATTTTGGTATCAACTTAGTAACGTCTTGATCCATCAAGGCTTTAAGATGTGTCTCAACTGACATCTAGCCTTTGATTCAACACAATTTTCCTATCACTGAAATTTGATTTGTCACAGCTTTAGGTAATCTTTTATATTATCAAAAATAATAGGAGTTGGAAATGATTTCCAATAAAAGAAAGAATATTAAGTAGGATTCAAAAAACTCACTTTGATATTTTCTTTACTCCATTTTTCTTTATTCTTTATTTCATTGATTATTTTTTCATCCACATCTTTTTCAAAATGAACAGAAAAAGGATCTGAAAAGATAAATCTATATGATTAAGAGACGTTGTTTAAGTCAAGAGAAAGAAAAAAAAACCAGCTGGTCCAAGACTAGAATCAATGACAACCATTTGTTCAAACTTTGTATTTTGTGCTAGAGTTTTCCTATATTTACATGTATTAAGATGTTTTTATGAATTTGTACACATCTAAATGTCAAAAATGTTTGTCTTATGTGTGTATCTATGGGATTTGGCCTTTATACTGAAGACTTCTGAGAATCAGCACCAATTCACTGTAATATATATAGCAAAACTCAGCCTACCTGTATCTTGAACAGTGAAATTATCTTTATCATCATTTTCTTCTAAAACTTCCTTATCATCTATCTCTACATCCTTGATTTCTAGAATACAATAAATAACATCAAAATCAAATAATCCAATAAATGATTGATTACATTACAGCTGGATAGACTGGATATACGAGTGAATATGACTTGGTCACCAAACTTTCACATGCCAATCCAGATTGGAGCCCACAGGTGCCAACTGATTGACCAAACAAATGATGTCATGTAGTAAACCAACGCTCTAACTGACTGTGCTGTAGAACGTGCAAGTGTTTTGATCACAAATTTTCTTAGCAATATTTGGTGTTGTTCTCCACCACTTTACTTCATTCAAAAACATTCTGCTAGATCTGACAAAAATGGGAAGACATAAATTTTTCCCTGCATTATACAACTAATAAATTAATTTCTTTCATATAAATTACAGAGAGAGTACCTGGAAATTCTTCTTCATCTTCAATTTCTTCTTCGTTATCTGAAATTTCCTCATTAATACCCTGTTCCTCTATTCCATCTTCATTATTATCATCATCTCCATTTTCTATGCTATCCTCATCATTTTCAAAGTCATCTCCATCATCTTCAAGGTCATCTTCTTCAGCTACAGAAATGTCATCGTCCGCGGAATTCTCTTTAGGTTCAGCATCCTCATCATTTATATCAGATCCTTCCTCTTCACTGTCCATTTCCTCCTCATCTTCTGAGGATGCTAAAAGATAACAATGAAGATAAACTGATCAATATCTATGCAAATCATGATTTTGACAAACAGACAATTGTATTTAAGAGGAGGAGCCTATTTGGAAACTCAAGGGATGAAAAATCAGGCTTAGCCTGATCTTTTTTAAGGTTTTCTACAGTTAGAGAGAAAGATTGTTCTGTATAGATTCAAAAATTGTTTGGAACCATGACTTGAACTCAGTATTTCATGTATTAATGAGAGGTTTCATCTGACAATATTTCTACAAGTTTGAATCATGAATAAATACAGGTAAGTAAATGTAACAAAAGAAAAATGATTTGAACAACCAGGAAAAAGGTTAAGGGTAATGATTATTACATTATTATCGTGTTGAATTATTTCCATATAAGGATTAATCATATTAAAGTGTTAAAATATGAACTAGTTTACTAAATGAATTAACTAGTGACATATTAACAATCATACATGTAACAGCTCTAATCTACACAGAAGCCAATAAACAAATTCTAAGACAAAGCCAGATGGCACTAATTTATTCAAGTGTTAATTACTAAATCCAATTAGTAAACACAAACTAACACTTAATGATCAAATTGAACACAGGGGTATTTGGTCAAGTTCCTGGATAATTCTTCTCTAACTACAATGTTTTCTGAATTGAATTTTGCCAATCATTTTCGTATGAATTGAAATAGCAATTACAAAATACTACTGAGAGTCTTAGATTGTCTTTAGATTGATAAAAAAATTAACCACTGGAAATGTTATTATTTGTAAACAAGATTTTACAGACAGGAATTTTCAGTCCGAAAAGTAGGTGATTTTCACATGAATTTTCTGGGAGGAAAAACAATGAAGCAAAATACCACGAAATCATACTAAGACAAATGGTATATAATAGAAAATTTAATTTAAATATTTATGAAATGAGAGAAAAATTTCAATTCAAAGCTCGATGTAGTCAGAGAGTTGTCTATGTTCTTAAAGAATCTAAAATCATACAAATCATGTATATTATTGAAAACATTTTCTAATATAGGATTACAGTTTACCACATATAAAAATACATAACCAAAAGACACTTACATTTATATACAAGAGAATTGCCTTCTTTTTCCCCAAAAGTTGAAAGAAGTTCCTGGAATGGATGTTGACTTTCTGTATCCTCTTCTCCTTCACTCTCTGATGATTCTGCCATTTTTTCCTGTAATGTAAATTCTCCATTTAAAGAAAAATACAAAAACAACATAAATGTCTTTCAGGATTCAAAAGAAAGTTATGTCAATTAATATTCCAAATTCATTAACAAGCTTGTAGATTGGATCCTCAGACGAATTGAAAACTCTCTAAATGATGAAAATTCATCTCAGGCCATCTGAAACTGTTTGCTTCTGACTTGCCCCAAGACCCCTTTTACCCCTTTGAGGCTCAGAGTTGGAGACTCCCATTTTTGGTCTCCCTCACTATCACATGCATTTTCTAGATACACCCCTGCCTAACTTAAACTCAAAATGTCCACTATGGACTATACTATCAACCTCTCTTTCCTTGACATCTTTAATCTCAGTATAATGTTCATTTCCATCATCCCTGAAAATATAGAAGATCTTTTTGTATACAAATTGAAAGTAGACATAAAAATTGTAGTCAGCAGATAACAAATGGAAAATCAATCATATTACAGATTTTGATATTCACCTTGCCTCTGATGGGTGAAGCTCTCCGTATTCCTTCAAATGCTGTTTTTGTTTAAATGATAGGGCATGGAGATTGCGTTTTTTCCTTGGTTTCTTATGTACACGACCATGCTTTTCTTTGGGCGCCATGTTTCTTTTTAGCTCACAAATACTGAAAGTACCCGTAACTGATTGGTTCGTTGTCTAATCTATTATTAGATTGCCCATTCATCGCAAGTCTTATTTAAATCAGCTTCATTAGACCGACGCCATTCTTTTCTTCAGAGCGGTCACATTACAGTTTTAAGTGTAAGTTTGTAAGAAATAATAGGTGAAATTTCGATATTTTCTTGTAATTTCATGCTTGTAATATATTATGTTATTGGAGAACAGTAAGATAGGGTTTTGGGAATGATTGCAGGGTTTGAACACGACTTTTGGTTTTGATATTTTCCTTTGTCTGGAGGCGAAGCGGAGTAGTCAGTGTTAGTGTTGTGGCTTAAATCTAAAGGTTTCACCTTTATTATAACTTAAGTCTATTCTCTTTCCAGTTTTTATTCTGTATAATAAGTTACATATGTATGTAAGTTTGCACTACTGTAGTCTGAGAGTCCCATCTCACGAACTCAAGTCATGTCTATAATGCTTATTGCAGTCGGCCTAGTACCTTTAAGGCTTTGACAAATCTGAAAGAATTTTATTTCAAAGACTTGTAACTATGAAACTTTCCATTTTCAGGTTTCATCATGACATTCAAGATATTTATTGGTAATTTAAGCCATGAGGCGCAGGAGTCTGATTTAAGACCTGCCTTTGAAAAGTATGGAGCTGTAGCTGAGTGTGCAGTTTTATCAAGCTATGGATTTGTGGTATGTATGTGATTAGGGTGTTAACAAGTTACTAATTGAAAGTTTAAACAGCTTTTTTGCTGATGACTCTCACAGTTTTCTTATATTCAACAGTTTTTTTTCTTTTCTCAAGTGAAGGAAAATCTTACTTTATCATTTGCAATTTGAATTACCCTGAAATCATGATTTTATTTATCTTTTTCTTTAGACAATATAGGACTTTATGTTTTTAATGTACCGTAAATATGAATGATATGCATACATGTGTTTTTGTGTATTTCAGCACATGGAAAATGAAGATGAAGCCCAGGCAGCTATTGAAGGGTTAAATGGTTATGATATTTGTGGGTTAAGAATAAGAGTTGAGGTATGCTTAATTTAACACAACAGGTTAAGGATGAAAAGGCTATACTAACTAAACTGTCTGAACAACGAGCATGCATGTAACGGATAAACCAGGAGCATAGATTTTAATATAATGTATGCATGTGTACACATCTGAGAAGCCTTAGTATACTGGTGCTGTCAAATATTTTTCACCAGCGTTTACTTCTAATCACATTACACAGTGAATTCCTATCAATTTTCATTTTTTTTTATCGACACTCTGATTATTATGATTTTTACCTAAATGCAAATATGAACTTTCGACATGAAAATTGGAGTTAAAAAAGTTCATTGAAATGTTCTTGGTCACGAAAGTATGGATCCGTCCGTTTTAGTTCACTTTTGCTTATATCTACTAATGATATTTTACATGTAACCCACATCCATCCGCCTTTGTTTAATTGAATAGTTTTTATCGCAGTGCGACAACAATGCCAAAGAAGATCGGAAGCGAGAAAGCGTCGGAGAAAGAACAGATATCACTTACAGGCGTTATTTCTTGCAGTTATATATCCAGTTATTTTTCTTTTGCGTTCCTGCAGTATTATTACCTGCGTTCTTGATTTAAGCTTATTTACTATTTAAACTCTTATCTTTGCGCAGATGTCACATGGAAAAAAGGGAGATGGACCGAGACGAGGCGGCCGTGGAGGGTAAGGATAGAATATTGAATCTAGAAGCGTACCGATTCATACCGAACGATATGCGATTTCAAAATTTACTGCATGCTTTTCCTACCGTTTGTTAATTGTTAATTGTAAGCGTTTGACGTATAAATCCTTGCGACCTATTATTGTTTAACTTACCATACCGTAGATATGCTAACCTTGCGTTGAGATTTTGAATTCGGCAAATTCATGTACTGAGAGTTAGTGTTTAATGCGATGTTGTGCGTTTTATGTGAAGACATATGGTGTAAGTCATTTTGTTAATATTTATTTCTCATTTTTTCAGGAGAGGCGGAAGAGGTAGTTCTCGTGGTGGAGGACGTGGTAGGGATGGTCCTAGAGGGGGAGGTGGACGACCTTCACCTTATGACAGGTACCCACCCCCATCGTCTTCCTACTATGATAGGTATGATCCCTACTCGAGGTATCCATACCCTGAACGAGATTATTATCGACCTCTACCCCCAGTAGAACGATATCGAATGCCACCTAGTGATAGATATGCTGCTCCACGTGATCGCTATGCTGCTGAGAGACCTCCACCAGACCGTTATGCAGCTGCTTATGAAAGAGAAAGATTGCCTGCAAGGGATGCCAGATCTGCATATCCAGCTTATGATCGAGGTGTTGAACGAGATGCTTATTATGGTAGAGAAAGAGGTGCAGCCGCTGATTACTATGGACAGTGAGTAAAATGTAACTAAGTCTTTTATATTATTGCATCATTTCATTCCTCAATAACTTTGATTAACTGACTTCTTTGATATTCCAGTTCCAACTAGTTGAGCTGCATTATAGGTTGTTTTTAGAGGAAAGATATTATGGTGTAAGACTATTATCTTGCTTTCTTAATCATCTGTACTTCATCGATAGAAAATGAATTCATTTTAGCCCACCACTTAGTATCTTTGGTTTGATCTGTTAACATGTAATTTTTTAATTCTTTCATATACATGTATTGGATTGATTTGTGTATTTATCTTTCAGTGAAGCGGAACGTTCAGCTGCCCCAGTTAGTAATGGATATAGTTATCGTGGAGAGGCAAGGGGTGGTTATGCTGAAGATAGTTACAGAGCACCAGGAAACAGTCAGTCTTCATTACAAACACAACCAATTTACTTCTAACGTAGCTATTGTCATACTGTTGTTCTATATTGTTTTTTTAATTGATGTTATAACACATGACATTGAAATGTATTTTCTTTTGTACTGAATATCGAATTGATTGGTTATTAGAATTAGAATTTGCTATTGATGTAAAATTTAGTATCATTTGTTATCCAGTGCTTGAGAAATATATCTTATCTTCCCCATACTTAATATTTGCTTTAAGTGCCAAGTATTCTTCGGTGTGTTTTTTATCATTTGTAAATATTTCATTTTAGTCCCAATAATTTTTACTCCTTTTAAAGAACAAAATCATGTACTTGAACCCTAAGTTTAAAAAATTCAAGGGAAGTAACCTTTCCAAAGTTATTCAAAAATGTAGTCATTAAACTGTTGTGCAAATTGTTGTATAGATTTAATAAAAATCTTCAATATTTCTGTGTTGATATATTTAGTTCCTATCATGCTTCAGCAGGTAAATGATTTCTGGTTGATGATGGAATTTTCATGAATCAGCACTAACTGATAATTGCATATAGATTTGCTCACACGTATTTACTTAGAGCATGTCCATGACATATTGTCATTTCAAGCAGAGGTCTATAATCATCAACAGACATTAATACTCAGTGCTAGGATATTATGCTAGTATTAAAGCCTGACACACTGGTTGAACATCCTAAGGGTTTTGATGGCATTAATTTATTTGGACATGACAAAACATACTTTTTTGAATTTATCTTGGATTTGGAGCTACAGATCCTCCACACATTAGCAGAGAAGAGACATTACATGGACATCTTTTGATGGAACATGCTGGATAGTATTAATTCCGAGTTAGTCATTAACCACCGCGTGAAGTGCTGCGTCTCCTGACCTGTTGAGTCTAATAATTCAAAATTGACCCTGTAAATGACAATTTGCGACACGGATCTTATGACCCTATCTACAACAGTTTCTGATTGTTGAGTGGCCGTCAAAATTTAGATAGGGTCAAAGTTTTTTTTTATACTAATTAGCAGCATACATGCTGCAATATTTCATTTTCAACCTCAAAGTACTCACGAGTAAAAAAACATTTACTGTTCCTTTAAACAGTCATGATGAACTTGACTACAAAGAGACTGGGTAATCAATATCGAATTAACCAACACAAGGCGGCGCTACGAATTCTATAGTTATCACATGACATCATGTTGATAAATAAATAAAGGAAACAAGGAAATATTACTATTCTATGAAATTTTCGAAGATGAAGCTTATCATATTACTTGGGCTTTTGCCCGCTGTGTTTTGTACCGGAGCACCGACTGAACAAAAGAATCCAGAAACGATTCCAGAAATTGTGGATGCTGCTAACTTTGCAGTTACTTCACTGAACGGTTTGATGGATTCTGATCCACAAATGAGCAAACTGAAGATAGTCTCTGCTAAAACTCAGGTAAATATTTAAAAAATGATAATAAGCCTAAAACAAAATAAGGTTCTTTGCAGAAGAAGTAGACATTGATACAAAGACTTATTTTGAAGTTTGGCACAAAGTGACAAAGTTAAGACTAAAAGCTTTGGGAGGCATAAAATTTCAATAAAATCATTGATATTGTGACAGATTAGTAGGCCTGTTAAGTAGGCTATACATATCTCAGGCCTACATATTGTCATTTCTATATTTTTCGTTGACCTGACATGGATGTGTTTACAAGATTATATTCTAATAGTAAAAATCTAGTTATTTTTACTCCAGGGAAATATTAATTCAAACAATTTTTTATATTATTTGGAGCTGAAATGGCTTCACAGGCTAGTGGCTTTCACATTCAAGAGAGCAGTTCAGACAGAAATAGGTCAATAATATAGGTCGAAATGTCGCTTGTCAGAAGGTTGTATCAAAGAACTATACAGTTCTATGGTTGTATGGACAAGGCATATAGTTCCCAAGATAATTAAGTTCTGTGTATCATTTACTTGATAAAGAAAAACGAAACAGGTATGATCACTCCTATTGCATACATCATTACATTGGTTGTTTATTTAGGTGCAGAAAAGCAGTCCTAAATGAAACACTCTGTTAGATTGATCTTTTTGTTTCAGGTTGTAGCTGGTTATAACTATTTTCTCAAATTAAGAGTTCAGTATGGTTCAGAGGTAAATATTCTTCTCTTTACAGTTTTTGTATGGTACATTAACAATACCTAATGTTAAAGTCTATATAATACAAACTGATAGAAGTTAAGTCTTAAGAATATAAGGAATTAATTCTACTTTATCATTCTTAAAAAAGCCGCCTTTATATATCTTTATATTTGAAGGCTTTCCTATTTCTTGTATTCAGATTGAAGACTCAAGGAACTTATAGATCGCTCTTAGTGATCTTAAACTTGTTACATGCTGTTAATGTAATGAGAAATTATGTTTTCAGGTGAAAGAATGTGAAGTAGTAGTATGGGTTAAAGCCTGGTTAAATATGAGAAAAGTAACATCTCAGACTTGTATTGATATGAGTGGTGATGAACCAGCAGAGCCTACTGTATTAGGTGGTGTTGTATCAGTCAATGTTGATAAAGAAAGTAAAACAGCTATCTCATTTGGTATTGAACAGTTTAATTCTAGATCTAACAATCTGTTTAGATCTCTACCATTAAAAATTACGAATTTGAAGAAACAGGTTTGCAGACTTTTTAGTACTGTCTTTTGATTTTGAATGCCTTAATTTCATGCTAGATCAAAATTGACTATATACAGTTTGCAAATGTTAAATGTTCACTGATGAATATAGGATATTGGAAAAGGCTGCATCTCAATCAACTGTAGGTGATTGTATAATTGTTTGATGGGACTTAAGGGTTTAATTTAGCTGTATTTTGATAAATAAACTGAGGTTTATATGCTACAGGCTGTTGATAATCCCTTAACTGATGGAAATAATAGGTCTACTGTCCTGATGTCAATCATCTTAATTTGTTACATCTCAATGACAAGAATTAAACAAAATATTGTAAAAAAATGTAATTTAAACATTTTATGTTTTGTAGCTTGTTGCTGGTAACCTGTATACATTTGATGCTACAATACAATCCAGTTCTTGTAGAAATACCCCTGATAATGCCAAGAAAGGTTTAGATGAGTGTCCAGCTAGTAATGATGCTACTTCTGTAAGTCTGTGAACATTTTTCAAAAGTCTTGAATTTCACAACCCTTTTAGAGTATCATGGCTTCAATTTTATAACTGAGTTATAGGTATGTTCTCTTGAATATGATAAGCATATGTTTAATTGAAAAGCTTTCCATCATTTATGCCTCTAAGCACACTCCTTTAAACAAACAAATGTAGACATGAGAATAAGAATGCAGACTGAAAACTATTGAAATCATAAAACTTTATTTCAAAAAAATACCCTACCATAAAATGGGTCTGGTTCAGTGAGAACACTTAATTTGCTCACAGGTATTAGTCCTTATTTAAGATACTGTACAAATGTGAGTTATAATGTTGTAACTTTAACATGTAGTGAGCTCTTGTTACTATATTTTGTTTTCCTGATGATATCAGTCTAAAAATTTGACTTTTGTTTTATTGTAGAAGCAGAAGTGCTCATTTAAAGTTTTATACCAAGCTTGGGTTGATGCTGATAAACAATGGACTTTAACTGACTTTAGTTGTAAAAAGGTAAGAAACTATGAATTGGACTAATCTTCGTAAAATAATAATTGAATACTAATTTAGTTGTTAATTTTTAATTTAAGTATTTTTTTTTAGTTCAAATTGATACATGGCAAGATCTTGATATTTATTTTTTTTTGGCATGTAAATAAGTTCTCATTTTCTCCTTAATTTGTTGTACTTTGGTGTAGCACATTCTTTATTAAATAACTGTATGGTTCTATCTTTACCTTTTTTTTCTTTGAGTATTTTTTTGCCATTCCTATTAACATTTTTGCTATGAGCTTTAATTTCTGTTCCTGGCTCTTGAATTTTTTTCTTATGTTGCATGTTTCTTTTGTTTTTTAGGCTTAAAACTTTTACTAACAAAGAATGCTGAAGCAGATAACCAACTTACATATTAATTACTTACTTAATTACATTAATATAATACCAGATTACATACTTTTCCTCAAACATAACCTAACTCTTAGTATCAAAGCCATCAATTACAAATATTTAAATTATTAGCTATTTTTGTCAGTTAATTTGTATATTTTTTTTTAATTGTATTGTTTTCAATATGAAATCTTATGTTTGGGGAAAATTGATCCTAAGTTTTGTAACCACTACTTAATTCTTATTAACACTGAAATTTCAATTTTGCTTTAAACTTGTCTCCTTATTAGAAGTGCTAAATCTCTTTATTTTATCAAATTTTGTGTGTTCAGAATTTTTTATATTCAATATATTTTTAGTTTCTTTGAAATATACTTTTATTTCTAGTATTGTTTATTTGATATCAGAATTCCTTTTTCATAGACAGAAAAGTGCAAAATGAACAAAACTCAGCCAAAAATATTTCCTTCTTTTTGCCTGTGCACATTAAGGAGTTGCATTTTCCCTGAGGAAAATTTTTGTTCATTAAATCTTCTCTAATGCCAAGGAGGTGAAAACTGTTGTCAGTGTTGCATGGAAGAACATACTGAGGTGTGTGAAGAAAGATATATTATATATTTATACAAAGATACACGTCCACTAGGCCCAGCACCCAATTTAACAAATCAAGACTGAATATGCCTTTGTTTCCCCATTTATGTCCTTAATCTTGAATATGAAATACTGTTTGATATCCTCACTATTTGGGTGGCTCTGCTGGCCCACTGTCGCTTACAAATGCATATTTGCATTTACACATCCCTAAAAGTTACAGAAGGCTAAGAATGGGTCATAAAAATGTTTCGTAGCACTCTTAGTTTGTGGTTCCTAAATATATATAAATTCTTAGACGTATTTGTATATCATAGGCTGCTTATAATATCTTTGCGATAGCTACATCTTAAAAGTTTTAGTGGAATTGGAAGACCAACATCTGACTGAAAACTAGAATGAAACAAATCTATATCATCAGTGTCCTCAACAAAAAACAAAAATTCTAAAAAAGCTCTTTACAATCCCTTTAACCTCTTCTCAAAACTAAGACATGCATGACTTTCTAAGATAAATATACATTACATAAGCAGAAGTTAATTGACATGGAAATCCCCATTCATCATTGAATTGAATTTCATCTCATTATGTATCATCATAACTCAGTATTTAACATGCACACAAATTGTCTTCTCAGTTACATGCGATTGATAAATTTTCTCTATGAATTTGGTCAAGTGAGGAGTAAGTTGGTTTCCCTCCAAGATATTTCGTATAGATGATAATATTTCTTTGATATATATTTATTACACACAAAATAGGGGTCAATGAAAAGACTATCCTAGATAGAAGTCATCTTTTTCATATTATTTTTAAACTTTTGAGCTCAAGTCCAAAACCCCTTTGATAAGATCTAATACAATACACAATCTCTATCTTCATTTGGATTTGTCAACTCTGCAACCCTTTCAGACAGTCAATATAACTAAAGTTATTAAACTCTTCTCTGTTGTTGGGTATTAACCATTATGATTATGTATCTGAAGAGAAAAAAAAGTTTGATTTCTATTCATGAACCTAAGGAATGATCTAAGAATTGACCCTTAAAAAAGAAGTAAATCAAGGCCAAAAGGATAAATATATTTATTTAGTTATATTTATCTAAGGAATAACCTCCTTAGATAAACCAGATTAAAGATTATCATTTAATCTTTCAATATATCCTCTTCCACTTCAAATTTATCTATAAGATTATGTTTGAGGTTGACAGGTAGCAAGCCCTAGTCAGGATGTAGGAAGAGTTGATTTTGATGCATTGTTTAATTTGAATGAAGAAGTTATAAATTAATTTAAGAGATTGTAAAGAAGTTTTCTAGATTTTTTATGTGTATCAGGGACACTGATGGCATTAATTTGCACCATTCCAGTTTCCAGTCAGAAATTTGTTCTTGCAATTCCCATAAAAATAAGTTTTTGGTGAAGACACTAGTCATGAAATATGCTTGTATCGCATAAAAGGAGGTTTTAGTGATGTCATCAAACACTTAGAAAAACCTTTTAACAGTCCCTTAAAATAACTTATGTATTATTCTTTACATCATGAACCTTTCTTTATAATGAAACTGTGTTAGATTACTTGAAATGGATATGCATACCCCTTGTTATAAGTAGGTCATAACACTGCAAATATTTAAGACATATAGGAAAGTATAATGAAATCAGTTGACAGTCTTTATCCTAGGGCTATACAAACAGGTTATCTCATGTTTTGCATGACTGCATGTAGTTATAACTTTATGTGGATTCAATTTAACTTATAAAAGTTTACTTGATTTAGAAATCATATGAAATCATAAAAGAAAAATCCAATTCAATTGATTTTGTTATTGTTTTTTCAAACAAATTTTGTTAATAACAAAGTTTGTAGCTATTTTAAAGTATTAAATTTAAACAATATGATTAAACCTAATATAATTGTTTATAGTGGTTAGTGGAGGTCTTAAGTACTTGAATATTAAAATGACTAATATCCTGTGATAGTGTAGTAACATTTGTTCTGAATATCTGTATCACTCAGCTGATAGGGCACCAACCTACTTGGTCAATCAGCTGATAATCTTGTTGTTGAGGAAAAAAGAGGTCAAAGGGGTCAAAAACCTAAAACATTAAAGTGATCTAGTTGTCTAAAAAATTGTTATAAAGCAAAAGTTATATATCTTAAAAATCTCTTGTGGGTTTTGATATCCTAATGCAAAATCTAGCCATTGACACTTAATGGCATTTATTGACATTCTTATTTGCAACATTGATAATATCTGCAGTTTCCTTGTATTTCATTCAATTTACGGAGAAATAATATGAATGTTATGTCAAATATGCCCAGAATTATATTAAACTTAATATCTCTAATATTCAGATGATAATCTAGATATTTTCTGGGAAAATTTCTTTCCTTCTAAATTATCAGATTAGGTATAATATATTTTACATTAATTCTGATAACCTTGTTTACTGCTCATTTTACAAAAAACAAAACAAGTCGATTTATTGGGACAGTAGCCAAATTGTTCTGATCTAAATACAGCACAAATCTTCTTAGAGAATGGAGACACCTAACCTGTTAACAATGTCCATTTGTTGTTATCTCTACCTAAAAAAAAATCTAATAAATAAAGTTTATAGAGTTCACTTGAAAGTTATTTGGTTTGTGAGTTGGGGTCAATAGATTTGGGCTGTCAGACATCAAAATGTACATAAACATATTCAATTATATATTGCTTATAGCTGGACAAATATGACACTATCTGTTCCTAGAATGGATATAAGAATGGGATATCAGCATGATTAGGGCCAGACATAAAATATCACATTTTATGGGAGTTGCTCTGATCCATTTTTGGATCGCTTCTTCTTATTATAGTTTTGGGAAATCTGAATCATTAATGAATCCATCAAGCCTCATACTAAAAATTTTCTTCTATGGTTTTTCTATATTTTCTCATAGTATACATTTTAAGTCAATAATAGACAAACCCTAATTAGCAGCATAATTTTTAAAGAGGGTTTTCTTATTTCAGCATAGAGCAGCTAAAGTAGCCATATTAGGTGGAGATGGCCATGATTTATGTCACAGTACCCATTTTGAGAATTTCAAAAGTAATTTTAAGAAGAGCTATGATACGACTGAAGAAGAATTAAAGAGATTCAAGATATTTTGTGAAAATATGAAGAAAGCCAGAAAATTACAAGATGTTGAGAAGGGAACAGCCAAATATGGTCCAACTATTTTTGCTGATTTGACAGGTATCTGATTAAACCTTTAATTAAACTTGTTTTGATAACCAATATCATCTTTGCTAGATGTACCACCACCTAAAGAATAAGCAGGAATAAGAGTTTCAGTGTCTGTAATGAAAGATTATATGTTGCAAAATGATAGCTTGAAGCAATTTGCCAGATTCCTGAAAGGGAAATAATTGGAGATATCTGATTGTCTGAACAATGACCTAATTTTTATATTACAGAGGATGAATTCGGAGTGAGATTAAATTCTAAACCCTGGGATTTAAGTATCAGACCTAAAGATAATGCAGTTATTCCTCAAGATCCTGCACCTAAAGCTTGGGACTGGAGAGATCATGGTGTTGTCACTCCAGTTAAAAATCAGGTCAGTTACACTTGGAAATTATTTGTTCACCTTAAGTTTATCTTAGTGCCAGAGGGATGTACAGTCATGATCTTGAATTTTAAATGATGGTTTTGATAATTACATTTTAGTGGATAAAACTTATTTCCCTTTGAATATTGTATAAATATCTGTAATGTAAATGTATTTTTTTGTTTTGAGTTAAAATAAAATTGAGGTTGTCCTGTAGGCAGGAATGTGTGTTTTTGATACATGAGGTCCTGAATAAAAATGTTTTTTATTAATAGGGAAGTTGTGGATCTTGTTGGGCGTTCTCTACAACTGGTAATGTAGAGGGACAATGGGCTATTAAAAAACAGAAATTAGTCTCACTATCAGAACAAGGTCAGTTGAAATTTACAATAAACACATCTTTGTAATCCATGGTATCATATATGTATTGAGGGATTTCTATATTTGAAGAATGGAAAGAATTTTTTATTGGAGAAGGGTGATATACACAAGCCTCCTTCCAATTCAATAAAACCTTGTTTATACACAAAAAGGCTTGTCTTACTAATTGACAATTGATAGTTACTTTCTCGACCATTACCATTGTCCATCATCTGTTGCTCCCTGTTGAAAAAATTTACCAGATGATGAGGATCACTATTTTGTTCCTTTAAATTATTTCTTTACATTTTTTTTGTTTCTTCTTCTAGAACTAGTTGATTGTGATAAAGTAGATCAAGGCTGTAATGGTGGCCTCCCTTCACAGGCTTATGATGCTATCATGAAACTGGGTAGGTATTGAGACTGGTTGTAAACGTAGCAAACAGTGTAACAGTATGACAATCTATTCAAAACATATAATTTGTCTATCGTGCAAATTGCTTAGATCATGAGATATCTTGGAAGTTATCTAAGCTTGGAAATTTCCTTTGTAAAAGTTGAAATATCAACAAGTATCAAAACATAAGATCTAATGGAGACCAAACTCTTGACATGGACATAAATATCAAATTTTGAAATTTTTCTTCTGTAAAACAGGTGGTTTAGAAACAGAGAAAGAATATGGTTATAAGGGATATGATGAGAAATGTTTCTTCAAGAAATCTGATGTTGCTGCTAAAATCAATGGTTCTGTGAAGATTTCAGAAAATGAAGATGGTTTGTCTGTTAATATATAGCTGTGACTTGAGAAAAAATAGTTCAATTTCATAACAAAACATGAACACATGTAGTCCACTTATTTGTGGATTCTGTTTAAGTTATGATGAAATCCTTGTAGTATTTTTTCTATTTCTTTCTAAAACTATAGTTGCCCTTATTTATGTTTTGAATTTTAATATGCACCAAGAACAATGTCTTAGTCTGACTAAAGCTGACACAATCATTCAAACTTTGTGAAGGAATTCTTGAAAAGACAAAATATCAGTTCCCAGTAGCTTACTTTGTGTCTAGTTCATTGTTCATTCATACAAAATTGTTGGAAAACTTTGTTGACGATATTCTTTTTGGTATATCAATTTCCCGTTAAGTTTTTCTACTGAATATTATAACTGATTAATATTTTATATATAGATATGGCAGCATGGTTAGCTAAGAATGGTCCTATTTCTATTGGTATTAATGCCTTTGCTATGCAGGTTAGTACAAGATTACCGTTAATTAAGACTTTTTTTTAGATGTCAGTTTTCATTTATTCTCCTTAATTATTACATGAATATCTACACTAAACATTTTACAATATTTCTTCATTCAATCTGCTGATATAGTCTTCCTAGACCAGCAAACACTAGATTTGCACTCGAGTACCTGGGTATTTGCCGTAGTAGTACTGTATAGCTGCTTATTCAAACATTTTTGATGATTAAGTAGTATAATTAAAAGGCTATAACACGTTATTTTGATTATTCCTAGTTTTACATGGGAGGTATAGCTCATCCATGGAAGATATTCTGTAACCCTAAAAAACTAGATCATGGTGTGTTGATAGTTGGTTATGGTGTTGGTAAGTCTCTTTGTCCTTTATTTTCTTTGAAAGGATCTCTCAGGCACAGATATTATTAGGGCTATATATGAGATACATGTAATGCCAACTTATCAACTTGAATATTAGGCTAAGGAAAGCCAGTTATTGAAATCATGTTTTCTTTTGTGGTATTGAAATTTACCATACCTGGGCACTTTATATATAATTTTGCGCATTTAATTTCCTCACAAGGAAATATTTCATTCACAATCATGACAAGCCTTTACACAAAACATTATAATTATGTAATCGTTTTTCTCATTTACTTTACAATGTAACATTTCATTTCTTTCAAAGTTAATTTATTAAAGAAATATGCGTTGTATTAAAGTGTCATTCCAAGAAACACAGATTTAATCATATATCTCATTACATTTCAGAAGGCAGTAAACCCTATTGGATAATCAAGAACAGTTGGGGAGAAAGTTGGGGTGAGAAGGGATATTATTTGTTGTATAGAGGAGGTGGTGTTTGTGGTGTTAACACAATGTGTACCTCCGCTACAGTTCCTTAATTAACATATTTAATAACTTCATGCCTTCAAAATGTGATATACAAGTTGTAAATATTGATGATTTTTTTTTTATAGTTTGATCATTTATAATTGAAATTACTGCTCATCAGGCCCCAGTTTTTTTAATTTATTTTTATTTGAATCATCTAATCTTTTTTCAAATTATTTTTTCGTCAGCCCCCCACCTTATTTGTATTATTTTGCTGTAGAAATTTGTTTTGCTCATTACCCCAAAAAGAATCTCTATTAAACATCTGTACTATATATAACAAGTTTGATAATAAAAATATATTCATAGTTGTCATTCAATCATTTAAAAACTTGATTAGGGGATTAATAAAAGTAGTAATGCAATTATGCTCTCTATAGAGCTAGTTATGGGTCATTGGGAATATTTCACAATTGCAAGCTAATATACTCAGTTTCATTAACCAAGCTGACCTAAGCTTCAAAATGGTCAGCTCACCGAGGTTACACTTCACTTCATTATGCCAATATCAGGCCACTGTTTCCAAAAAGGTTACATTAGATTTGTGTATTGTGTAACATAAGTCAAGGTAGTCCAGTTTTGTGTGGAGATTTGACTATTTCTCCAAAGGCTCAATTCCATGCTAATAGTTGAAATAATAAAAGGGAAATCACTCCACTTTGTCACAAATTAAAACTAATTGAGCTCTTATGCGATATCCAGTACCAAAAATGTTTGATGTTGAACAAGCAGTAACAGCACATTTAACTTGGCATTGCAGAGAGAAAAGTGTTGGATGAATTCTATTGCATCCTTCCAACATTCAGTGATTTTAGGGTATGTCAACACAGTGCCTGTCTAAATAAAAACACAAATCTAGGTACTGTTAGAATCTTATTACCAACAACAGTTACTCATTAATTTTAAACAAACAGCACAATATATATTATATAACAAAAAAACATATTCCTTTAAAAAATTCTAATTCTGTAATGAACTTCACCACTTAATTGTAGGTCTAAAATAAGGGCAAGGACCCGTAAGATCATTTACAAAATGGACAAGACAAAACACAATGTAAAATATTAATGAAAATATCTACTGTGGGCCAGTATTAAATACATTTTGTAACTTAAATCTTAATAATAATATTGATATATATATAATAATAACCATATTATATTCTTGTAAAGGTTCCTGTACCTAAGTTATGTCTACAACCTATTTTAAACAGAAAAAAAATCACATCATTGCCCATAGAAAAGAATAATTTGATATACTGGCCCACGAGCTACCAATAAGGGATATTAACAATTACGTATTAAAAATAGTACTAAAATAGTGCTGCAAATTGATTGAGAATGAAGCTATGAGTAAATGAGGATATACAATGATCTAGAATGATTTAATATTATCATATAATACAACACTGGTTTCAATTGTTAATTTGTTCTATCTTGTACCTAGCTTACTAACATTTACATCTTTTGTTTGTTACTGTAATTACAATCATAAAAGATGGCCTTTTTTCTTGAAAACATTCCTTAGGTTTATACATTTATAGTATTTCAGATTGACATTGAAATTAAAGAGAAACCTTTTCTTGAACATGTGGTTTAGTTCATAGAATATAACACCTAGCAAGTTCCTCTGTTTATATGATGAGTTGAAATAGAACAGAAAAGTTGTATAATATGATAACATTAATATGAATATGAATGAATCATAAAAACAAATGATATCAATATTAGTAATGTTTATTTGGACTGTCCACTGCTGCCTCCAGTACCACTAGAATTGTTGGTGTTATTGTATTGTCCATACCATTGACTATAGTCTGGTACACTACTAGTACTACTTCCAGAGCCTTGATAACCTTGCCAATAATTCTGATTGCCCCATCCTGATCCCCAGCCCTGGTTATATCCTCCTGATCCTGACTGATTGTAACCTCCCCACTGAAATATAAAATCAATAATTTAGACATACCGTAAATTCTAAAATTCTATAATTACTGATAAAACTTGACTGTTTTCATCCAGTAATTTCTCAACTGAGCAATGTTGATATTCTGTAAAAATAGGCCCATGCTGCTGTCATGGCTAAATTTCCCTCAGACACAGATTCAGCCTATCCAAGTCCAATTTAAGGCATACAGGTCAATAAAAACTCAAAACTCTGGAATTTAGTCCATTTACTTTCACTTCAAATTGATCATCAATGGAATTACTTTGTTATTTACTTATAGTAGCTGAGATAATAAAATACATATAAAAAAATATTTGAAATACTTACACCACCACCATAGCCTTGTCCCCATCCTTGGTTGCCCCAGCCCTGGTTTCCCCAGCCCTGGTTTCCCCAACCCTGATTTTTACCCCAATTGCTGCCTGAATAACCAGAGTTCTGAAAATAAAACCAATCAATAGTAAAGTAACTGTTCATGTGATCTAGATTTGAATTGATCTTAGGAAAAAAACTCCTTTTATTTAATGTGATTTCAAGACAAAACTTAGTTAAGTCAACAACTGTTTCATAATGCTGAACCTAGTCAGTTCTCCCCTTTACCTGATAGTTAATAAGAACATAATTTATTTTATACTTACTCTGTCATATTTTCCACCACTACTTCTATTTCTATCATAGCGATCATTTCTATAACCACCTATAGTGCAGGAAATTTCTCAATTAGAAATATGGATCTCTGTCAATGCGACACATTAGACACACTTTCAGTGATCAAAATTTTTACGTAAGTTATAGACATTTTGACATTCTTTCAATTTTAGTAATAATAATAAAGTGATGTAGATAACAATAATGATCTCGCTTCTTTTGAAAGATTTTTGCTTATTCCTACATAAGAAAGTCATCTACATTTCAAAAGTCTTTAAACCATCTAAGTTTTTTTTATATTTTATATTGCATACATTGCAGCACAACAAGATCTATCAGCTATTCTCAAGCTGTGAAATATGAAAGCATCTCACCTCCTCCGTAACCTGAGTTATAACCACCATATCCTCCACTATGTCTATCATAACCTTTAGATCTATAATCTCTATATCCACCACTATTACGATTATAACGATCATTACGATAGTCTCGATTATCTCGACCTATAGAGGTAATATAACAAGCTTATTATCTATTTCTTTACTCAATATAATTAATATACATAATTATAATCTTTTGTTTATTTCTGCAAGTTTGATAAGAAAATAATTCTCCTTGAACAGTTACAAAGAATAGAGTATTTCAAGGTCTATGATATTTTTCAATGTATTCTATAGTCTACTCGATGCTCAATGAATAGCATAGTTGACATCTTTAATCTTGTGACACATTTTGCCATCTATACTTACAGAGCTGAAACAAAACTTTATTAGTAAAATATTCAAATATTGTTCTTATATTCATAAGTCCTCAACTAATTTTAATAAAAATTATTGTGAAAATAAGATAACATTGTGTATACTTGCTTACTTTCTCTGTAGAAATAAATCCATAGTTTTCACTTGATAATGAGGTAAATTTAAGGTTTTAATCAGGTTACATATATAATAATCATGATATTTTTTTCATTAATTTCAATAACAAAGTGTGAAATAAAGACTCATGAACCAAACCAGACAAGTTTATTGAACAGTGGTCATTTCTGTTAAGATTCTATGCTTGGACTTGATTACATTGCACCCATTCCTTTTTGTTTTGCTTTAAATGTTGTATTAGGTTAAATTCTTTAACTGAAGTAATGATAAGGAGATTAAACCATCTTTAATCTATTAATCTGTCTTGTATGATTTCCTTTTAGCGACACATAATGCTCATAGTGCTCCAACCATTTACATTTTGCATGAAAGTTAAAAGTAACATTGGAATAATGTTCACATATGAGCTTAGACATAATTATCAGTTATTTCAATCGACTGTTTTAAGAAAATAGATTTTGTCCTGGGGAGACATAGAATATGGGTCTTGTCCAGTTTGGTTCAATCTGTAAGCTTATATTCAATATTGAGTTAAGATAACAAGTCTTGAAGCCACCATACCTGACCATCTATCACTTCCTCTCCAGCGCCGTTCAGGATTAGCTGCTAGTCCTTCCTTACGGTACACTTCAGTTAGTTTCTCTGCCTCTTCTTTATTCAAGTCTACAAACTCTACTGCATCAAACAGTTGACCTTCTTCAGGCAGAGTGAAATTAGCTGAAATTCAGATATAATATGATAAAATATCTAGACATGAATGGTCTCTGAAATCACTCAAATAGATGAAGATTCCAGACACCCAATATAAAAGCCCTAATGATTAGATTAACTACAAGAATAAAGAGGAAACAGAACCCTCAGGTTACTGGCTACTTGCCCTACCTTTCATATCAAGAACTGCTTTTTCAGGTATATCTTTTCCTTCCTCTTTTTCTCTTTGGGCAATACGGCTTTTAAAATCCTCATCCGATGGCAATATTACTACAGCTTTACGTTGAAATCCTTCAAATGGTTGCATTTTACGCCTTCTGGCAGAGCCATACACATTTGTCTAACATATCAACAAAGAAGATTTTTATTAATTGGCCTTCAAGGCATATAAATTAATTCTTTAAATCTGCAACATACTTCAATAATATTACATTAACATCTTCATTTTATCCTAGCACTTACCTTTTTAAAGGAAAATTTCAAGTTGTGATCTAACATTCATTTTGATTTTTAACAATATTCGTTTTAGAAGTCAATTACAAGTTCAATATCGATTGCATATTTCAAGATGATATTTTCTATATTATCAATGTCCTATTGTCCTTCCTAGTAAATCTACTCTCTATTCTATATGACTCAAATATACATGTACATGTATCACACATTTGAATGATGGACAAAATAATATTTAATAATGTACAAATACTCCATATCTATATTACAACTGATTTACTTCCTACTTTCAATTTGCTCATATAATTTAAATTTCTAAGCTTCATTCCTCCATATATAATTATTTCATGTTATTGCTGCCACTAAGATCTGTGTAACCATTTTATTTAGCCAAGCATTTACTTTTCCCATCCATATTTTGTATTAAATATTACATACTCAATAACACCATTTAAAGAATAGAGAGCAAATTCACCAAAAAGGACCATGATCACAAACTCATCTGTTACTGATATTCAAATTATTTACATATAAAACAAACTTTAAAATTTTCATTAACAAACGTCTTCAATACATTACATTTGACTGAAACATCACCTGGATGATCAGTTTGTTGATATTATTTCGTTAAGATTCTCTCGTGAATGGTCAACATACCTGGTTTAATCTTGATATCATCATGGATGCTAGCACTAACATAGAATCTTACCTTTCCTATACTTACCTTCTTAGTTTCCTGACTCAGTTTACTTACCTCTACCAGGTCTTCCTTATAGTTGAATTCTTTGAAGTTTTCTGATCTCATATATATGTTACTTTAACCGAGTATGGATATAATTAAAAAGCAAGAAACATGCACTACAAGACAAAGATCTTTACCTGATCTAGAATATAATTGCGTTTTTTACGAGCAGCTATTTCAATAGCTCTATTTAAACATTTGGTAGCCATATCAATCAATACGTCCCATCTTCCTGTATAGTTGCGTTTTCTCGGTAACCCCATTACCTAAAAGAAACCATATCATTCTTAAGCCAAACAGCTTTAAAGCTTTGTAGATTCATTTTTCTTAGTCAGCATTGCATTTACCAGATCACTTGCATGAACCCCTTTTCTGTTAAGTTTACATTGTGTTCACTGATTTCATCATTAATTATGGATAAGATAAATTCAATAACAAAATATTTTCAAATTGTTAATATGGTGCTCAATATTTCAATTGTCTAGTAATATAGAATTATGACAACCAAACCTGAGTAACAACATGATTCAGGTTCTGTTGTAACATTTTTTTATGATAAATTCAATATTCCCTCATATCACTATATGTTATTTAAGACTGATAACACTAATACACACCTTCATTTTATCAATTACATTATTAGTACCGAGCATGTTGAATTTTTTATCTGGATTAGATTCAGCATGTTTAGTTGCCCAGGTTGTTTTTCCAGCACCTGGTAATCCTACCATCATTATCATCTACAATACAATACAACCATCATGTACACTTAATCATTATTAAACAAGGCATAACTCACATTATTCATCTTTATAACTGATACATGCTTTAACAGTCTAAATGCAATAATCAAACTATTCACTAATATACTAATAATCTGGCTTTAAATTTTCATGATAAATATTTCACCTCAGTTAAAAGCACATCAAATAATTTGATTCCTAAAAAAGCAATTTAGAAGGTTTGCTTTTACCTCACAATCTTCTTTTTTAGCAGGTGGTACAGCTCCTCGAACTCTTTCTTCTTGTGGTACAGCTTCCACAAACATATATCCTTCTTTTAATGGAAAGAATGGTTCTTCCTGAAAAATCAATTCATAGTCTCAATAAATATGTCTTTCTTGTGATTCACCTATTTCAATTCCAAGGTAAGACTAGGTGGGGACAATATTGGTCAATTAAGAGTTTGGGGATATTCCAAAGTGGTTTTTATTTAACACGATTTTTATGACTATCAACAAATACCCCTAGTAGTAAATGAATAAAAAAAAATAGTATCAATATTACCCTCTTTCCAAAGTTGCACTCATACTCTGTATTTTTAGTAAGAATATGTGGATATATAGCTTTTTCTTCTAATGTAGCCTTTTCTATTTCATAACAAGTACCAAGGTCCTCTCCATTTTTAGAATAAGAAATAATAGCTGGCTCACTCTCCAAATCCTGTAATAGAATTGATAACAATAAAACAAATGATTTGAAGGGATAAAAGTATAAATGGATAACTTTTTTGAAATTGGGTACATAAATTTATTTTTCGTCAATAATCTGATCATATTTAACAATATTCCTCTCTGTCTTTCCTCCAATTTATCAAAATGGTAATAAAAGAATAATCCTTACTAAATAAGCTGTAATAACATCTCCTTGAGTGAATGTCTGACCATAATCTATAAATTCACAATTTGTTGAAGCTTTGCCTGTACCTCCAAAACCATATGAAAATGGCTCTTCACCTGTAACAAATAGTATAAAGATGCAAAAGCTACACTTTATTTCAACGATTTCCAACTCTCCATGTGTTTATTCCAAGTCAATATATCACAAAATGTAGCTTAAGACTGGAAACATGATAAAATTATCAATCCTCACCTAATTGTAGAGAGGTACTATCTGTAGACCAACCAACACGTAAAACATGGGGATTACTTTCTTCTGATGGTAGATGATCAACATTCAAATTTTCCAACAGCTGAAATTTACAAAGAATTTTTATTTTAAGATATTTATTAGCGAAATATTACATTGGCCAAAACAAAATGTCTCTGCATATTGCAGAAAAAACTTATTCCTCTGCATGTGCCAGTCTAGTTCAACATGAGTTGCAAAATGTTCTGTATATCTACATTTGGCTTTGGGATACTTATAGCTTTTTTTTTGATAGCTTTATTGATAAACATACAGAAAATACTTACTTTCACTTCATATGCCACTTTCCCAGTTTTGATACCAAACATCGCTCTGGCTCCAGCCCACATAAAAGCAAATCCTTCCACAGACAATGGCTGAGCTTTAATACCATTAGCATCAACTCTTAGATTCAAGTCACAATTATCTGGAAAAAAAATAGTGGAATTAAAAGGATTGCACCAAAGACATATTACATTGAGTTCTCGCTATCTAAATGTTGAACTGGAATTATTCAGACATAAGTGTAAAGTGAATAGGCTAGATATCGTCTGGTGATCTTCTAAATGGTAGCTTTCGACGATAAGCTATTTTAAGGTCTATTTCTTTTACTTACATCGGTCTATCATGATATCAGTTCCAGTTTCCCACGCCTCATCATCCATTTCAACCTTTCTTCTGGGTGGACTGGGTCTACAAATTCAAATCAGATAAAAGTATGAGGAAAAGTTTAAATAGTCTACTCTAGAAAGACAGCTGTACCAAAACTCAAAATTCTTAAAACAACTTAAAATCGAACATCAATTACCAAAAAGTCAGTTTAAATGCTTTTAGTAATAGGCTTATTGTTACATATTTTCATAATACATATTCTGCATCGATCTAAATTTTCAAAATATTAAAAACATGGAGAATGCTCACCTCCTTTCTCTATCTCTGGATCTTGAACGTCTTTTATCACCAGATCTTGACCTATGTCGATCTCGAGAAGAAGATCGTTTTCTCTTTCTATTACGATCAGATTTCTCATCTAAAAAAAATAAACAGAGAAATTTGATATAAACTGAATTTAGTTATTTATGAAGCTTATTATTCTTGAGTAACTAATGACTCCTTTGAACTTGTGACTTGCTCTTTCAGTCAAAATCAACAGAAGCAACCTTTACCTGTATCATCTGTGGCTTCATCGATAGTCTGATATTCTTCCCCTTCTTGAGGCCCAGAAACTTGTTCACTATTATCTCCATTTTGTGCTGTATCATCTTGCATAGGTTCTTCAGTGCGCTAAAAAAACAAAGATCAAAGCTAATTAACCTGCAGCCTCAGGCCAACCAATATCATGAGGGTCAATCAAAGTTGACCATAAAATGTGATTTGTTCTCAATAAGTAAAAAAATAAATCAGCATACCACTATGGTCATAATCCCACAATTATCTATCCAATATTGAGTTATAACATTATGTTAAAATAATTACCGTAGATTCTTCTGTCTGTTGAGTTGGTTCTGAAGCTGTTTCAGCAGGTTGATTGGCAACTTCAGGTACAGGTTCCTGTACAGGCTCAGAAACTGGTTCTGGCTCCTGCACAGCCTCGGGAACTGGTTCTGGTTGTTGAACTGGCACAGGAACTTGTTCTGGAGTAGGTTCTTCAACTGGTGTTGGTTCAGGTTCAGAAACAGCCTCTTGAATTGGTTCTGGTGTGGGCTCTGGTTCAACAACAGGTTCTGGTGCTCTAGGTGCTTCACTAAAACTCTGATCTTCCTCAGTTGTTGTGTCTAATTCCCCAACAGATACATCTTCGTCTTCTAAAATATCAGAATAAAAATAATCAAGTTAGGTCTTCAAATATAAATCTTCATAAATATGAGCAATGAATATTCATTCAGTTAGAAGACAAAGTATGAATCATTGCCATTGATTTGGCCTTGGGTGGAGTAAATTTTCTAAATATATCTTACAGAATAACAGTAGACCTTATAATTCTATTTTATTTTGTTTTTAATATTGATGTTTCAGCGATCATTTCATAACTGCAGGCATCCATTATCAGATAGGATGCTATGTATAAAACCTGTAACATTCCTCCACCAAAACAATAACATGACCTACATTCAACGACTGACCCACTTTTTCTAAATTCCAAAATACAACCGCATGATCAACACAAAAACTGATTTCCTGAAAGACCCTGCTAAACTTTAAAGGAATGTGCAGACTTTAAATATTTGTGAAAACCTTCAAATCCCCTTAAAAACAATTACTCACCAACACCTTTTTCAGCGTTCAAGGCTTCGATCAGCCGTTTAGCAAGAACTGCTTTTACTCCTTTCGTTTCAAGTCCTCTTGATTTCAGCTCCTCTCGCAATTCAGCAACTTTCAACTTAGTAGGATCTATTTCACTCATTTTGAAAATTTAGTTACCCTAAAAACAATGTCTGATGCATGGAATGATGCTAAAATATTGAAATTTTGTTTACTATCTCTTTTGTTCCTAGTATTTCCCGGTTCAAAATGGCCGTCTGGAGGACGCACATGCGTGGCTTTTGTAGTTTACTGAAATAGTTCCGTAAGAGAAAACGAATTTCTTTCTAATATACTTTGCGCTTGATCAGCTATTTTCATTTAAAGGGATGTCACTTATACCTTATTATAATAAAATGTTCTCTGGTTTTCATCCTTTTGGCATAGAATTCGATTATAGTCTACAACGTTACTTTACTATTAAGTGGGTCATATTTCGTTTTCTATTATGTTCTTTATCAATACTTTTTTTAAAAAGTCACATCTTTACATTGTCCAGTACTACAGTGTACACATGAAATTATGCATACAAAAAGGACTGGACAATAAAGCATCAAATTTTTTTGGTTCATTTGAGACACGCCCATCGTAGCAACGTTATTGTGTACATCATGGCTGCCTCGACGGACGAAGCAAAGGAAAATGCAGGTAGTATATTGTTTTTTTTTCTGTTTTACCAATAAATGTCTTTTGAATGAAAAAATTATAGAGATGTAAAACATCTCTCCTGTTCCGTCTCGGCTCTCGCTATTGGAACATTTGTATGAGACTAAATAGGCTAGGCTAATAAATAATAGACAAACAAAACAAAATCTGAACCTTATCATATGCTAGGCCTTCTGTTTTAGAGTAATTTGTTGCTCTCAATCATTCTAGTCTCTGAATAAGTGTAATATTTAATTGAATTGAATTTTGGCAATCATTTCCTTATTATTATGAATTTAAAATTATATCAATTACAAAATACTACTGACACTGATACTAAGAGTCTTACATTGTCTTTGGGTTGATGAAAATGTCAACCACTTGAAAATTTATTATTTGTAATCATGATTTTACGGAGGAGAATTTTCAGTCTGAAATGTCACTTTCACATGAATTTTTTGGGAGGAAAGTGTGTTATTTCAAATGTAAAATCACTGAACCTTTTATTTCTATGGACCCAGAGACGTAGCCTACTAAGACAAATAAGACAAATGGAAAAAAACAGATATGAATTAAATAGGCATAAAATCCAATCCAATCTCTAATTTCCCCATTTTTTTTTTACCAATCAAAGGCCTACCTTAGTCTCATAAACAGGAATTTTTTTAGCTAAGCCAATCAGTAGGCTGTAGGGCCTACCAACCATAATAATTGAGGCTAAATATTATTTCATTTTATTTTGTAGATTCCTTATTCAATGAAATTCAAAGAAAAGTCACAGAAGCTTTTGATATTTTTGACCATGAATCCAATAAAACAGTGGATGAGAGGTTAGAACAATAATAACTTGTTTCAAAAGACTTCACATAAATTTATCAGACAGCAAAAATAAAAATGCTGGACTGTGTTGTAAAGAAACATATTGTGTCCAACCAACAGCAAAATTCTATGGAGTTTAGATATTTCAATTAATATAATCAGATCTTTAGATATTTTGCAACAAAAGTGTGTATATCATGGTTGTCTTCGAAATACATGATTAAGCTTTGAAAACCATAATAATTTATTGAAAATATTCTTTCAGAGAAATAGGAACAATAGTCAGATCATTAGGATGTTGTCCAACAGAAGGTGAATTACAAGATATGTTACATGAGGTTTGTAAATTCTTACTCTGTTAAAAATAGATTACAATTATGGTTCTTTTAATTTCCATTGTAATTTCACAAGTTTTCTGATTGCAATAGAATTGATAAATTTCAACCTACATTTTCATATTGCATAATAAATTTTGTAAATGTTTGTAAAATTTTAAATTTGAATTCGATTTATTTCATGTATTCCAAATTATCTCCCTTTAGTGTGTCAAGGGAGGTAAGTTGTTCACTCTTATGTCCTTGCCTGTGTAACTCTAAAAGTCAATTTGAATATTGTTACAGATTGAAGAAGAAGAAAACACAGGTTATATAAGATTTGAGAGGTTTCTACCCTTGATGACTAAAGTTTTAATGGAAAGAAGGTGAGTATTAAATAATCCTTTTTGTCACATTTGAGAGGTAAAACCAGTGGCACTGAAATAGCTCAGTTGATAGCAAGTAGGATTGTCTCGTCTGTAAGCGGATTAGGTGCCTTGGATTCGACTCCTACTCAAGGTAAGAAAATTTCTGATGCCATGCCACTGCCAGTGATTCCGAGAGTCAGGATAGTGAATACCAAGCCATTAGGTATGTGAAATTTCCAGGATGACTGATCATCATGCTCATTATGGTTTACAACAAACTTAGTACATAATGATTAGAGAGCATTTCCTCTTGATGTATTTTTTTTCTAATTTGCTCTACTCTTCCTAATCTAGATATAAGCCTGTACCAGAAGATATTATGCTCAAGGCTTTCCAAGTATTAGATGCTGAAAGTAAAGGTTATTTAACAAAAGAGGAATTAGAAAAATATATGACAGAAGAAGGTAATCTTTGTTGTGAAATCGTTTTATTTTTTCATTAAAGAGATCCATCTAATTAGGCCAATCAGGAACTTCTTAACAATGTCAAGCTATTACGAATTGCATCATATACCTTAGTTGCAAAAGCCACCTTTCCTCTGTCACAAAGATTTCTAAATTTACCACTTCGATTGGATTATACATAAGTGTATACAGTCAATTACAGAAAGCATCTAAACCATAAGCCATAATGTTTATAGTCTTTATGTTGAGAATTCTAGTTGGCTGTATTCACTAGCAAACAATTCAATCCAATCACTGCATTGAGCCTTATGAAGTCAAAGTATAATGCACAGTTTGTAATAGCTTCTTATTGTGAAGATGAATCAGGATGTAAAACCCTGTTTTATTTATTGCATTAAACAGTCATGAAATCATTAGAGATAGAATCCAAATTAACTGTAGATATTTGATGATATCTTTATTCATAAATAAGATACATTATACATTGTTACAAAACTTATTCATATTATTACAAAAGATAAAATACAGATCAGCTTTTGCATAGTGCTGTGCTCAGCAGTTGTCATATTTCAAAAATAATTATTAATGTTTAACTTTGGTATGCCTCTTCAGCACCTTTCACTCTGCAGACTGCTGTCACAATCCCTTTGGAAGCAAATGCTGTGGTAAGATTACATGTATGATTTAGTTCAATCCATATTTACATTTTAAATATTTCAGGTGAACCATTTACACAAGATGAATTAGAAGAAATGTTATCTTCAGCTATAGACCCTGATAAAGGAACTATTTTATATAAAGATTATGTATCAGAATTAACTGTTGAGGAGCAGTGATAAACTCCAGGTTTTTATCAATTTTTAATACGACTCTAAATCATTGTGTGGCATCAGATGGTTTAAATTGACTTGTACATTTACAACATATTTTAAGGAAACATTTGGATAGATTGGACCTTCAATAAGCCACTAAATGAGCAAAGATCCACTGATTTAGGATATCAATGTAAAGATCACAGATGTTGGCGGAATTTCAGTCTTTATTTAGAAGTTCTTTCAAATTTATTGTATATAAACTCATAAATTATATTTATTAAACCATAAATTGAGAATGTAATTATAAAATATAATAAAATAAAAATGAGATTTGGTTGAGTATAGTAGGAATCATTGGTCCCAGTTTAGGTTATTTTAGACTCAAGGTGGACTAAGTCTGTAACATTGTATAGGTATCTTCTCAGTGGCGGCGCCATTGGGGGTATTTTAACCAAGCTTAGAAAAATAATTTTAAACTTTTTGATCCAAAATCAGAGTGAGAGGGCACCAATTAAATTCAATTTTTCGAAAATTTTCTAAAGAGAACTTTATCAGAGGCTCCATGAGATGCTCGTGCTTCCAAAGAATTGTTGCATTTTAATATCAGCCTCGACAGTTTTCCCCTTATTGAGTGTCTCAGGAGGTTTGTGCCGTTACTATATGTTTACCTTTATATGAATAAATGATATTGGTTCTTTTCTACTGGTAACATTTCAATAATAAACATTTTCCTGTTGCCCTCTCTTCTACCAAGTATAAGCTTAAGCACCTTTAATGTGCTAAGGGAGATAACTTGTCAAAAATGCATAGTTGATGACTCGGTGGTCATTTGGCCTTGTTGTGGAAGAACTGAACAAACAATCTATATAAGGGAACAGAATGTCTTTTTAAAATGATTTGATCTACACTTTACACTCCCCTCACTCGATCTGTCTCCAGCACTACCAATAGCAGCATACACTGCCGTTTCAAACACATCTTTAAGTCCATCTTGAGTCAGTGCTGAACACTCGACATACGAATGAGCACCTATTTCACTGGCCAGTTCCAATCCTTCCTGAAACTTAATTGGTGATCGTTTCTCAGTTTCTAATTGTTTGATCTCTTGATAACTCAATCTTAGATCTGATTTGGTTCCAACTAACACAATAGGTACGCCGGGAGTATGGTGTCGCACTTCGGGGATCCATTTCTCTTTCACATTTTCAAAAGATGTTGGGTTCATTACGGAGAAGCACACAACAAATACATCAGTATCTGGATATGCGAGAACACGCAGTCTATCAAATTCTTCCTGGAATATTGAAGGAAAAAATTTAACATCGAAAATTTCTCCTAAAAGTTAAAAATGCGTATGCATGTGAAACGAATCACGATCATGAAAATCTCATGCCTTCAACATCGTATCAAAAGTCGTAAAATGAAATATAAAATACAATTTTGATGTATAATTGAACGCACCTGTCCCGCCGTATCAAATAAACCCAATACCATACTCTGATCATCTACTGTTAACGTCACTGAAATATACAATATATGATATGATAACAACAACCGAGAAGAGTATGTAGATCCGGTGTCCTTTCTTTTGAAAATGTTACTTTAAATGCAACTATATAGCGCAATCGAGTTATAACTATTCCTAAGAAATGAAACAAGCGCATTTCCCCTAAAAGTGCACATCTCGTATTTTAAGTCATCTTATCTTGAATGATGAGATTTTCTTTCTTGGCGAGTGTCTGGAATTGTCAATAAGTTACTCGAGAATAAAGTTTTTCACCCGACAGACACCTTTGCACTGTTTGAATAAATGTTAATCGTGTAACACAAGGTTTGCGTTAATCTTTGAAGTGTCGTGCAAGTTTGGTTAAGTTAACCTGTTGATGTTCAGAAATAGACATTCTTTGTTATTTTCTTACATTTATCTTTTTCAACATCTATTTTAATGTACAGTTACCCTGTTGCAGATGTAGTGAAATGAGGTTATAATCATGACCTAGGTTATTATAGAATGATTAGATAAAGTTATATGTTATAAAAAAAAAGTAAATAGAAATTGATTAATGTAGAGCCTGGACGACCTCCGATCTTTTAAAAAAAACTTTACTCGGAAAAGATACGACTACGAAACAATCTTCAGATTTTCTTTTTTCGAAAAGTCGTCGAAATAAAATATTGGAATCAATTGTGGCCCATGCCTATTCGTGAATGCCTACTTGAGAGTATAAATGGAAATTTGTATAAGGCCTACTGAAGGGGTCCTTCAAAATAAAATTCAATCCGTTTAATCAAGAGTGTTATCTAGACGAGACAATTTCATTGGTTTAATTGCCATCCCTGCGCGTTTTACGTCACATTGGCGGGAATTTTTCAGTAAAACGCATTTTGATTTGGTAATCCAATCACGTGCACACCTTACGTCTGTAAGTATCAGATATTTAGATGGGCAGTGTCTTCAGCACGTTACAACGCCGATTCGTTCTCAAGTAAGAATCGTAAGTATGATTTACTCAATATTAGGCTACAGTTTCTTAGTAAACCTAGTCAATGCTAGGCTACTTGTTTGCGTAAGCTCAATCATGTCAACCTGACCAGAGAACTTACTTACGTTGATCTAGGCCCACAGTTTGATTCCGAACGCAAAGGCTTTAACGACGTGGCATTTGTCCTATTCTGCCAGTTTGAGGCCGGTAATTCGCATTCAACTTGTGCACCCTTATAATTTTGAACAAATTGAATTGATGTATTAGCTTCAGCATAATTCTAAATAGTTAATGAGAAAATAGGTATGCATATTCTTCGAGCTGGGTTTAATGATCATGTTGTATTAAAGTAAAATGTAGCTCTTTATCGGATGGCATTAATCAAAAATTGAAGATCAACACGAATTTGACTCACGAGGGTAAAATATGCATCTCCGATGTCGCATTTCACACAGTAGACCTACCCTGTAATCAGGTCTATGGAAACGTGTGTAAGGATTGGGAAGTGTCTATTGAAAGAAGCTAAACGAACATTTAATGAACACTACCAATATTTGATTCTCCTTTTAAACTAGATTATTTACTTGTCAAAGAAGACGCCAGGAATGTTTAAGATAAACTATGAGTATGAGAAATGAAATTGCATGAACTTTTCTTCGATAACACACTATTACCATCTAGCTTTTAGTGTATTTTTAGGAATTTATAGTAGGCCTATAAATTGGTGTGAGTGCAAATTTAAAATGTAAATTTTACGTGTCTTAAGATGAACCAAAGGCGATGTTTGGAATAATGGAATTGGTACAGATTCAACAAATTATTCAGAAATGTGAACTCGAGACTTTCGATAGAATACAGTTAACTATAACACGGCCATATTTCAAGTCTGCCTCCTTTAAACTTTCTTGTTAAGAGTATAGATCTAGGGCTACATGTCAATGAATTAAAAATGGCACGTGTTTAAAAATAATCTATGCAGCTAATTAAATTGTAGAGAAGCGTAGTAAAAGGCCATATGTGCAATGTTAAGCAACTCTTATAAATCAAACGAATGCATAAATTATATTAACGGGTTTCTTTGTTTGCGGAAAACACCACTTACATAGAGAATTATATTACAAAGAAAAGAGAAAATTACTCTCTAGCTAATAGAAAGTATTCAATTTCTAATTTAAATTTAGAACGTTTTACTTACCAGCATAATTTTCAAATACAGTTGGTACATGAACAGTAGGGAATTTATCAGTAGTATAACTGACTAGTAAACACGTTTTCCCCACCTCCCCATCCCCTACAACAACACATTTCACATAGTCCCGAGGGTTGGCGAATTCACAATCCGTCATCCCGCGGGTTTCGTTTCCACTCAACGTTTGATGCTACAAGATTCAACACAATCTCACACGTTTTAAGTTTTAAAGCAAGTGTTGAAAATCCACTTGAAATGTCATTTTGCTTCTAGAAATAGATCAGAAATATGTCACAGGCGTCTTATTCTTCACAATATGACGTCACTGCCATTGACAAGGAATATCTCGATACAGTGCCGGCGTGTCACTTTACAGTTGTCTCTTGAATACAGGAATATCGATTGATACCAAATTCTACACAATGGACTGGAAACACTGACTGAAGTTTGGAATTGATCGAGTTATAATTTACTACAGTTTTATGATATAACAGTCTGTAATGCTAATCAATGTTCTCGCTTTATTTCCTGTTTGTATCATACAATATGATGCCTTGTTTGGTGAATAAATGGTTGACTGGCTGTCTATGATATAATGAAAGACATCAAAGAGAAAATCTCTATTCCGCCATCGTACTTCTGTCTTTTATCAAGAAAAATCAATAATACACATTCATTGTCTTACTGCAGTCTGCCTCTTGTACTACACAACTCATATCCTGTCAAAATTTCAACCCAGTTCACAGCATGTTGAATTTTTCAAAACCACTTTAAAATCTCACCAATTTGAAGAATTTTCTCAAAACACAAACTGTTTATATTCGGAATTTAATCAAATTTGTTCATGGATTTCTTTTCACTGAGAAATTAACAATGTCAACAAACTTATAAAAAATACAACGGTATTAAATATTAAGAAAGCTAATAAACTTTATTCTGACACACAAATAAATATGAACTCGTTACCAACACGAGGATTGGAGTGTGTAAAATTCCGAATTCCGAACTCTCCGAATTGGGTCAGGAAAGACCTCACGAGGATGTTCATTTCTAAGGAAATTTGTCAGAACTATGTAAGCTTTTTTCTTAGTATTTTTATATTGTTGTAGAATATAACACTTCTAATTATCGTCTTTGGAAATCTACAATGTTTTGTTAATTAATTTCCTCTAATGTTAGTAGTTTGGCCTATTTACTAGAGTCCAGGATAGACTTATTAGAAATATAGAAGAAACTCTTTCCGTAAACTTTTCCCAAGGAAAATTATTAAAATAATTACATGAAAGATTGATGAACTTCACAGAGAAACTCCCAATCTTTCGTCTTTTCTCTTCTTCACAAGTATCTGGGCTATACTAATACTTCATTAGAAGATATGAACCATGATAACCGTCTGTCAGAAAAAAAAACAACAGCAATTGCAAGAGTGAATTGAGCATATGGAATGAATTTCAACACTTCACTAAGGTACTTCACATGACTATTGCACATAAGATATATAAAATAATAGCTCGAACCTTTCTCGATTCTTACACTGAAATCTTTAACATTAGCCTTTCATCTTGTGCACATCATCTGTAAAAAGTTCATATGCACACTACATCTCAAGTATTTTCAAAATTATTACATGGTCTGCACGAATTCCTTTCAACTTCGAAACACGAGAAATATTAACGATATGATTGTAAAAGAAATAGACCAAATAACCTTGATATTTTCACGACACTCTGTAAATGACTTCTGTTGAATATGAAAAAACAAGAAACATAAATTGTTATTAGTTGACAAATACTATAACTTTACACATGAATACATGAAATACGTTTGCAACATGTATTCTTTCTACGATACACTGGGTTCAGTACACAATATCACTTTAACAAAGTACACACAGCCATCCCTTCAAACTCATTCACAATTTGTTTTTAGACTGTTTGTCTGATATTTAGTTTGTTACTTGAAACTTTTTAAGTAGACTTTTCAAACTGTTTATTAATTCATTAAGACAAGCCCTGAGTAGTTTGTTAATTTTACTTGACAAAAGGTTCACCTATGAACATTTTACTAACTGCAATTAAAGGTTGTTTCAATTGGGTTTACGTGTTCCAAGGCAACTATTCGTACTGCGATTTAATGGTATAAATTGTATATAAATAAATGTTCAGTAGTGGTCGTTGTCGAGCCTGTGTCCATAAAATATAATTGACTTTTTAACCTGCATCATGTTGTGTTCAGGGTTAGTTTTGTCATGATATTAGTGGTATCAATCATGGTTTTACCATGTGGCATTATGTATTGACATGCTTACCCTAGTTTGCATTACCATAGTATGTATTCTATTTTACCTTTTGTCAGGTTGTGATAGCACGTCATTTGATGGTATCAGCATTCTCATAGTTTGTAATACCTTGGTTAAAGTCCATGTCTCAGTTCGTGACTTGTGTCAACATGCTGGTGGTTTGAATTCCCAGTTTATGGTTTGTGTCAACATGTCCTTAGTTTGTATTTCTAGTTCGTGACTTGTATCAACATGCTGGCGGTTTGAATTCCCACTTGATGGTTTGTTAACATGTTCTTAGTTTGTATTCCCAATTCTTGACTTGTATCAACATGCTGGTAGTTTGAATTCCTAGTCGTGACTTGTATCAACATGCTGGTAGTTTGAATTCCCAGTTGATGGTTTGTGTCAACATGTTCTTAGTTTGTATTCCCAGTTTTTGGCTTTTATCAACATGCTGGTAGTTTGAATTCCTAGTTCGTGGTCTGTATCAACATACTGGTGGTTTGAATTCCCACTTGATGGTTTGTGCCAACATGTCCTTAGTTTGTATACCTAGTTCGTGACTTGTATCAACAGGCTGGTGGTTTGAATTCCCAGTTGATGGTTTGTGTCAACATGTTCTTAGTTTGTATTCCTAGTTCTTGGCTTGTATCACCATGTTGGTGGTTTGAATTCCTAGTTAGTGGTCTATATCAACATGCTGGTGGTTTGTATTCCTAGTTTGTGACTTTTATAAATATGCTGGTGGTTTGTATTCCTAGTTCGTGGTCTGTATTAACATGCTGGTGGTTTGTATTTCTATTTCGTGGTCTGTATTAACATGCTGGTGGTTTGTATTTCCACTTCGTGCTCTGTATCAACGTGCTGGTGGTTTCTAATCCAATTTCGTGGTTTGTATCAACATGCTGATGGTTTGTATTCCTACTTCGTGGCTTTTATCAACACGCTGGTGGTTTGTATTTCCACTTCGTAGCTTGTATCAACATGCTGGTGGTTTGTATTCTCAGTTTATGTCTTGCATCAACATTCTGTTTATAAATAACCTTGATTTTCCTGCCTGCTCTTGGTTTGTATAAACATGACCATTTGTGAATTACAACTTTCTTGATTTGTTCCTTCATGTCGCTTATTTGTATTAGTACATGTATGTATACCCAACTTTTTGCTATGTCAGTATGCTTTTTTGTCTTCATATTTGCTTCAAGATTACTTTTATTTGTGTCCATCTGTGCAGTGCATTCTACTTCAATTCTCCTCGTGCTCGTATTTTTATACGCCCGTCCACAATTGCTCGTAAACACTCTACAAGACACAATACATGACGGATTTTGACAAAACTTGGTATGAGTGTTCATAATCACCCAAGGATGAACCCTATTGAAAATCAGAAGAATCGCGTTCAATTTTTAGCTCGTAACCACTCTAGAAGGGACATTCTTGATGGATTTAAACGAAACTTGGCATGAATGTTCGTAATCTTCAAAGGGTGAACTCTGTTTAAAATCAGAAGAATCGAAAAATATATAGTATGAGTTATTGCCCTTGTTCTTGAAAACGCGTTCAATTTTTAGCTTTTAAACACTCTAGGAGGGACTATTCTTGACGGATTTTGACGACACTTGGCATGAGTGTTATCATCCAAGGATAAACCCTAATGAAAATCAGAAAAATCAAAAAATATTTAGTATGAATTATTGCCCTTGAAAACGGGTTCAATATTTAGCTCGTAATTACTCTAGAAGGCACAATTCTTGATGGATTTTGATGAAACTTGGTGTGAATGTTCGTAATCACCCAAGGATGAACCCTATTTAAAATCAGAAGAATTGAAAAATATTTAGTATGAGTTACTGCCCTTGTTCTTGAAAACGCTTTCAAATTTAGTTCTTAAACACTAAAAGGCATCATTCTTGCTGGATTTTGACAAACTTGGTTTCATTATTCAGTCCTGCGCTGAAGATTGAATATTTTCCTTCTAAAGTTTTCACGAGCTAAAAAATGGAACACGTTTTCAAGAACAAGGGCAATAACTCATTCTCAATATTATTCAGTATTGCCCTAAAGAAAAGTGTAAGACTGAAGGTTGAATATTTCATACTGGTGAGTGTTACTGTACTGCTAAATATTTTTTATTCAAAATCAAAGCTGCAGGTGGGCGTATATTACCTTGCCTGGCAAGCTATCTTGACTGAAATTTTTAGTGAGTATTTTGGTGAATTAAACAGGTGAAGAGTATAATATAATGTTCTAGGCATACCGAAATCTTTTTTTTTTTTTCAAAGCTCTCCTTCAGACAGTATCAATTATATGATAATCGGATTTATTTATTATTTCATTCTTTGTAATCCATTTACCAATAATTCTTGATGCATGATCCATGAATCATCAAATTACAGATAAAAGCCGAAAATTGATGTTGAAACAGTGTGTCTTTTTAATGTTATCTTTATTAGTAGTTACCTCCCTTCTCGTACGGACACTTAGAATTTGGGCCTTTCACACGGACTCACTCCACTAATTCATTTGCCATCTCTTCCCATGTTAAAACACGAAATTCAACCTTCTATAACTTTTTCCAGAAATCTCGTTGAAAGCTTTCCAATATGTCGAATGAAAGCCTGACCAATTCTCAATGTCTCCTAATTCATTATATGAAAATTTTGAGCTACTTAAATTGAAAGTAGACTACTACCGGTTATACTCATCCGCTAGAGTTTGGAACTTCACAAAACGACTATTTTTAGAATTAGCCTTCCGCCTTTAGGTCTCTCATCATCTCACCAAATCTGAAAGATAATGCAATTTCAGACATCAAATTCCAAATCTAGACAAAATTTTACCCAAAAATAGGCATGCAAAAATCCCAAAAGGGAGAG